ACTGGACCACCATTCTTAAAAATCTCAGGGGTCAACCTGTCAGGGCCTGCGGCTCTCCCTCGCTTCAGATTTCCTATAGCATTTTTAACCTCGTAGAGAGTTGGAGGACTTACATCAATTTGCCATTCAGGACGACTGGGGATCGTGGGTAATTAAAGTGTGGCTAAAGGCCAGTTGAACTGATCCCTAAAGTGTTCTGCCCATCGATCCAATCTCCTGGATTGAGAATGAATAATATGCCCATCTTTATCTGAGATGGTTTCACTGATATTCGGGTTCCTAATACCGGTTTCTTTAACGAGTCTGAATAGCTGCCTACTGTTACCTATTGCCGCTGCCTTTTCCATCTCTTTTGCTTTCGCTACCCACCACTGTTCACGATCATTACGTAGGCTTCTTATAAGCCTGCGCTTAAGTTGACTCCGCTCTTCGTTATGCTCAGAGCCAGGTGGGATGAGTTTACGAGCATCTATCAGTGCGGTAGATGCTGCCCAGATCCATTGTTTCTCCCTAACGTTATGGTTTACCTTACTAGCGGATATCACTGCTGTTTCCACAGCTTTTCTGATGTTATTCCACGCTGCCTCGGGGTGGACACAACTTACATGTCTGTCTAACTGTTTTTCCAGTTGTTCCTGAAATATATTCTTAGCTGGCCTATCATTAAGTAGAACCCTAAGAGGTTTTTTGCAGCGTCTTTCCTACGTCCAGCAATATGCGGACAGACACGTGCTCGCACTAGAGCATGAACTGAATCTAAACATGTGCCCCAGAGTGAGCGACAATCTTCTATCGGGCCCCTCCATTGGTGGCTGATAGCGATGTGATATATTTGAGTCCAACGTCGGGATGAATTTGGGGGATGCCATTTTTGAAAGATGTTTTTCCTTATGCTTAAAGTTGGTATTTGCGGGAAACAGGTGGTTACCTAAGCATAGCTGCAATAGACGGTCGCCATTATCTGTTCTATTCGCCATGACACCATTAGATCCACCCAGGTGTCTTTACCTTTCACTTAGTTTACCTACTTGAGCATTGAAGTCACCAGCTACTATTACCACATCAGAACGCCTAAATTTTCGGAGATAGTCGGAAAGCTTTCTGTAAAACTCACCGTTTGCATCATCTGAGCAGCAGTCAGTGGGAGAGTAGGCAGAGACAACGACGAGTGTCCCCAACATTTCGAGTACTTACTGTTCCGTTTAGTCGGACAGCGCACAGACGACTGTCTGCTGGGATCCGGTCCAAAAGAGCTAGTTCTACCCTAGGACTTAATGCTATACCTACGCCAGCGAGGGCACGGGAAGCAGCATCAGGGCTTCCAGATACATGAACAGTGAATCGAGTTTGTTCTTTATTAGAACATGGTGAGGTCAAATGAATAACGCTATTCGGATCTTGTATGCGCACTTCGGAGACGCAGCACACATCGATGGTGCAAGATTCTAAAGTCTTAGCTATTGTTGTCCTATTTGGCACAATGTTCGTACGTTAAACGTTCTCACATGTAGTTTAGAGTGTGGTTTCAGGAGACCAGGAATAACGTTTCGTGTACTTGATTCGTTTGCCCTATTGGTGCGAGGTGATAAGGGGACGTGAGAAGGGTTAGTAGTGGAGATAAGAGAGTTATTAGGAGGCGTAAGAAGGATTTGAAAGTGATCAGCTTGGTCTCGTGTGCAGTTACGGGTATGAGGGCTAATATCACTTCCCGGCTGCCCACACCGTGGAAGGGTATTTCCTGAGGGACCTAAAAACGAAGTTGGAATAATGTTGGTAGTAACGACCTGGGAGTGTGACCGCAGAACCCAAAGTATAACTGCTTGAAACCGGTCACACACGGCCTTTTGTGGGTTTTTGACGTGTTAGTAACATTCTCCAAAGGGCTTTACTGCCGACGGAAATCCGTGGGATAAGGCGAGGTGTGCATTTTTAGGGTCGACCTTTTCTAACCCCAAACATCCTTGTGGGAAGGCAGCATCGCTGTCATGCTGGTTGTCTGAAGGAAACACCTTACTGTCGTCACACCTCTGTACAGTCAGCAGTACGACTTCGCCTTCGGACCTTGGGATTGCTGCTTTTGGTCTTACCGCTCTTCAACCGACCTGTCTGGCATGGTAGGACCTCGAGGAACGATTGTTCCAGCCAGCATAGCTCGATTGCTTCATCACGACAGGCAAGCCCGACCACCACGTCAAGGTAGCAGCAACGGTCGGGGATACCCTAAATTATGATGAAATAACTTTTCTATTATTTTATAGTCGAAAACAACTTAATATGTCATGATATTTTAACTGGGTAACGTGAAGGTTTTATACGGTTAAGCAAGATATTACGTTAGTTTATGTTAATTAATAATCAAATCAGGAGCGATAGATCATTGCTAAACAACAAAGGACATAATGTCGTGAAAACACCTAGTTTCCTTCTTGAAAAATGAAACCAAAACAAGACTACTACACTTGATATAAACGTAAAATTAGATGATGTATCTAAATATGATTGAAATTGATCTGCCAAACTACTCTGATCGTATCATCCATAACTTCTCTCAAAGGTGTCCAACTTAAAGATTGGGCGTGCCAACATGCAATTTCATTTGAATTGGTTTGAGCATTTATTACACTGTTTAGCTCACAAAAATAGATCAAAAACAATTATGTTGACATCTACTTCTTTTTTAATATAGCAAGAATTTTATTGCCATAAAATTTAGTTTTTACATCTATTATGTATCTTTCAAATTCGCTTCTTGTATATATCTATAAAGCTCCTACTACAAAAACCGTATATAGCCTATATTCATCATGCTACAAGAGGTATGTAGAAAGAAAAGTAAGATGAATGAAACCTATATCCACTACTTATTGATTAGTAATGGAACGTTCTAAAGAATTCAGAGTACATATGTAAGGATATTGTTTCTGGAAAAACATAATATAAAAAACAATATCTGTAAGATAATACCATAAACTTATTAGCTCAGTTATGGCATTTTAAAAACGGTTCCAACATCTATGGGAGTATAATTCCTCACCAGATTTCAGATGAGTGCCAGTCAACACAACCTAATTCTGGAACTTTCTTCTTATAGTCTCGTACCATCTAGTAGCCGATAAAATCCTTTATAGTATCTAGTCACAGTAGTATTTATGATTGGTATATTGATAATCATCTTTTTTCAATATATATATATATAACAAACTGTGATTAATTCACAGAAATTAAACGTTATACACTACACTTTGTGACTATATTGGTTCTGATTATACTGGTAGATTTCTTGGCATTCACTTATAACTTCTTTAATAATCAACAATTTTTAAATACATTCAATAATTGGTATCCAAAACAATAAAGGATGAAATAGCATCATCAAAAATAATACGTCTAAACAAACCGTCGAATTATAAATGTTAATGTTCAATTTATGCACTGACATATATCAAGTATTGTACATTCGAAGTAACACCAGTTTTTTATCACAGTAGTTTCGAAAACGGGACTGAGGCACACTTTCATATAAGAAACAAATAAAATACATTTGGCTGAACCGTAAAATGTCAAAAGGTGTAATATAATGATGAAGATATCCCCCAAGTTACGATCTTTTGATCGCGTGATAAACTGTTAGGTGCATTTTCGTCCTCATATACATCATAAATTACTAAGATGTAATATGATTCGATAAAGTCTTTGTGAATTTCCGACTGTCAGTTCAGTCAAGAACAATTGATTGATCCATTGCTGTTTGTTGCATGAATGACCCCCACGTATTACTTTTAGAACGATGTAGATCTAATGCTCAAATATTCCAAATTAATAATTTGGTGACATATATGAACTGTAAACTACATGAAAATTTTTGGATAATCATATAGTATCATCGGTAGTCATTCAGTTAGTACACCTTATATCCTAAAATTCACAAATTAAATATGGTTTTACTCACTAACTGATTAATATCCCGGTAGGGATCACATGAATATCTACAAACCTAATTTGTTTGTTGTTTTATCAGAGAATTCGTGTTGAAAATGAACATTACTTATACCTTCAAAATGTACCATAAAAATGTTTGAAATTCAGAGAAATCAACACTTATTAACAAATATAAAGTTCAACGTTTATAACAAATAATCATCATAGATTTAAATAATTCATTTGATAACATATCTAATGTAAACAGTAATTATTGAGTTATTATTGAAACAGTTATAATTTATTTCACAGTAATTTATGAGATGTGATAAATAACCTGCAGTAATTGTTTAAATTAGGAAATCAGTACTTTGTTTCTATGAAACGTATACAAGATATTTTTCACTGATAAACATGTGTAAAGTTTTCATTTACAAAAATCCGACTTCTTTCTCTGTTAAAGTCAAAAGCTGAATGCTGCTTAAAAGTCTTAAACAAAAGTTGATGTGTCTTTTTAAAAACTTCAGTATGCCGTTCACATTGATCAGGGACAAATGACTGAACTCACTTAAACAGAGTAACAGACAATAAACTATAATCATAGAGGTTAACGACAATACACTAGTGTAATATTCATACAAAATATAGATATAATTCATAAATCAAGAAAAGTAACTGACGTAAGTGATTCGTCTCAAATTATTTCTAGGTAGTATATCAAAACTATGAAATAGATTAAAGCCACTGAGCATTGGTGCGATTCATAGGTTTCTTCAAATAGCACCTTTTATTACACGAAACCAACTATTACAGGGACATGAATTAAAATGAATTAAGAGTATTCAATATTTTTGACTTAAAATAAAACCTTATCCAAATTCAATGTGTGCTTTAATTATAACGTAGAAAAGAGAATCCTAATTTTTCCAGACTTCAGAAGTAATATATACAAAATTATCTTAATAACCAAAATCTAATTTAAAACGTTAACGCAATAATAAACTTGGCTAACTGACACATATGACTAAAAACACCTTCCGCAAACCATCAAACCGACTAGTAATGTGATTTTCACGTTGAAATAACACCACAGACAAGATTTATATTTATATGCAAGCGTGAGTCAAAACAATAAAACATTAATATGCAATATTAGCTGAGCACCACAGTAAAATAAAATTCTAATCCGATTGTTTCTTTTTTGGTTTTCTCTTCCGCTTCTTCTTAGAATCAGTTGGTTCTGGAGTAGTTGATTGTAAACTCACTGACTCATTATCAACTGTATCTTTATTTTCAACTTCAAGGTCATTTTTATCTTCTACAGGATGAACAACAGCAAAATTTTTGTTACGGACATCTTTTTCAATGTGATTACTTGTGGTGAATAAACTTAGTGTATTTAACTTATCTTCGATTCGTTTTTGAACTTCAGATATCTGAGAAATAGCATTGACGAGACCAGATTCTGTGGCTCCAGTTAAAGCATTTATTCTTTCATTCAGCTCATTGAACGATGTTTCATCGTGAAATTTTGCATTGGATGAATTGCAAAGTGTCTCTGGCACATTATCAATGCTGACAGGTATTTTATCTTCATGTCCTTTGAATGGTATAAATTTCTGATATTCTAATACGATAAGTGAAAAGAGAAAGTGTGCAAATATATCATATGAATGAGACAAAAATAATTCATTCACAATAATTGCAAACTGTTAGTGAATCAACACTAACTAAAGAACAGAAGTAATTACAATATGCACACATAAGAATATTAACTGAGATGTTTTGATCTGAAGAGAAGTACAACACTAACGGTAAACGAATAATATGATGCTCTATAGTGCATTTAGCCATGCACAGACACTACATAATGAGTATTGCAGCTTCAAGAAGCGGAATACAAAATTAAAAAGCTGTATTTAAGGTCTCTGTCTAGAACTTCGTAGTTCTAAGTTTCTTAAAAACATTCTATCAGTCACTATTTTATTGTTCAGCAACTTATTGGCAAGAAAGTTTGAACTTTGAATTATACAGACAAAAACGATTGTTCGAACTACGATACCGGCGGACAATGACCTAGATTTATTTCATTTATTTAAACACATAAATATTAGTACAAGGGGGGCACCAGATATATATACACCGCACAAATCTCACCTGATTTATGTGAGGGCTGTGATGCTGCGCGAGTGCCCAAACCGAAACAGGGGGAAGTACGAAAGTAGACAATACTTTATTCTATGGATTATGGTTATGTGAATTGCCGCAAATTATACAGCAGACAGTAAATTTCAGCAACAGCGACACTGACAAGCTAGCGAGAATACCCGATAGAACACACAAATGATATTAAACGACCTACCATGTACTCAGTGTGTCCTTAACTGACAAAGTCGACGGATTAAAGAGGAAAACGGAATTGATATACGGAGAAATAGATCCTATGAGAATGAGAGGAAGGTTACTAGTATGTTCACTGTGTAATACGTAATGGTTCCATGTGATTGTAACGATAGTTAATACTGATATATTATGTCACAGTACTCATGAAACAAAATATGTAATAGCACACCGACTAAATACAACTAGTAATCAATCGTGATTCTGAGTAGGTATAATTACCAATTAGCGACAAACAAATTATTTTGGAGGCGGTTTCGTCGTAGGCTGCGGCAAGTTCATACGTTGGCTCACCACTCCTTAATCAGTGTTATATGACTGGTTATAAAACCCAAAGTAATAACTAGTTTTAATTTACCACGAGACATTCAAAAGCAGACACGAAATCAGATCGAAGTTACTTCATTGAAAACGTATCAGCTCAACAGCCAAGTGTAAATCAACCAAACCATGCAACAGGAGAGAATATGTATAAGAATGAATATGCGTATATGTATGAATCACGAAATATTGATGGAGTACATTTACAGCCAATAAGAGAATAAATAATAGACTCTTCCACATTCACAAACACATGAGAATATACGATTAAATGTGAGCAAAGTGATTGATGGAGAGATGATACATTTAATTATTGACTGAAATAACTTGATAAAATTAACGGTATAAACTGGCTAATTACATTATCATCTCACTTCATATATACACAACATCGCAATGATTCGGATATTAGATACGTTGCATTTATTATGAATGAAAACCCCCATGGATTTAATAGTCTATTAAAAATACTGATGTTCAGTCAGGGGTGATTATATATTAAGACTATGAACACTAAGTGGAGGGTTAGTGATTAAGCAACCAACTCTCAACTACTTAAAACAGAGTACTTTGACTCCAGTACTCTGTTGGTAACACCAACACTCAGCAAATGTGATATAAAACCTAATACAAAAGTGAATAGTTTAGCTGCTAAGTTGAACGAATTAAATCTTACAGTATGAAGGCATCATGCATAATCATAGAATAAATTTTTAAAAAAGGGATTATAGCCCACTCAACAATATTTTCATCAATAACAAAAAAATACACTGACTTTTGGGCATGAATGATTTTAAAACATCAGGAACAATAATCCCATGTTCTGCTTGATAATTCTCTAGAATCGCACAAATAACTCGAGTGGTTGCACACATCGTTGCGTTGAGCATATGTACATATTCAACCTAGGTCATTGTAAGACACAGTCAGTTCATAAACAAAACAATAATAAGAACTTTCAAACAAGCGTGATAATCATTTAAAGAAGAGACTGTTGATCCAAGCAATAATTTAAGATAATTAACATGATTTAAGTCAAAGTTGCATTATGTTATCTTTTGAAAATTAAACGCACAGTAAAATGTGTAAATTCACATAATCACACTCAACTTGATTGAGTTCATATTCCAATTATGTCCCTTAATATTCTTATTAGCCTCAATAATACATGATTTATCTAATTTAGATGCTTTTTGACGGCATATATAGCCATTACTTTTTATACTTAGACGATAATAATAATAATAATTTACCAGCCAAATACGAGTATGTACTTTAATTGAGCAATTCACTTGCCTCGAAAAAGTTTACATATATGCGAAGTAACTGACGAACTGAATGACATATTACAAAACTTAAATTCATTATGACTAACAATATAATTGGCTGAATTTGTTACAGACACAATCATCACAAAGTGCATCGATAGTTATAACTACATTAAGCAACTTGAAGAACACGAGAAAAATACCACTTACACTTTTATTCATTTTTTTTGTCTGACCGAAACGAATTGCTAACCGACGAGATTGATAGTCCAAACAATTACTACACGATACAAGTTCCCTATAGGCTCCGGACCCAGGGAACCAACCTTCTAAATCATACTTCATAGATGCAGCATTGTTTAGCTCACCCGATACAATGGAAACAACACGATAAGGCAACTTCAGAGCCTGTAAACAAGCAAGCAATAAAAAAGAAAACTTTATTGACAGATTCGAATCTTTTGAGGAATAAATAGCATCGCCGTGTAAATTGAATTGTAATCATTTTCGGTCATAAGAGCCAGTAACTCGGAAAAAAAAATTAATCAGTAAATATTTGATACACCACAAACATCATACCTTATTTAAATAATTTATTATGTTTGCCTCTTTTAAAGTTCATTTACCGAATGACATTCTTAGTTTACGATAAAAATAAATGGGTATTTCACATTATTTTTATTTGATATCATAGACCCACGAGTGGCCGATGTTAAGAAGAATAAACAGGAACTTAATGAAGTATTTCAAAATCATGGTCTTCAGTCAAATTATCTTGAACGGTTTTTATATTCGCTGCGAAGGATGAAAGCTATTTAAAAACTTTTTTTGGAATAAGCAAACAATATATTGAAGTTTACAGACTAGACAACAATAATAAATAAAATTCTTTATAATTTCCGCTAAATAATTCACAAGTCATGAAATAAGATTTTTATTCGGTTTAACCGATTTGAAAAGTTTACAACAGTTTACGTTCCGACTTTATTCCATGAGTAGAAAACATTAAGGTTGAAACAATAAATTCTGAGCAAAAGTTACCAGAAGTTGATATCGATTTTCGGGAGTAGGGAGAGTAAATAAATGTAAAAAACATTAATGATAATCTATTATTTACAAAACAGTAAACTAACCTGGTAAAATGCTTCAGCATTAGAAATCATATGATCAAACATCTCCCATGACAGATTATCGTGCGGACTAGTAATACAAAACTGTTCAACCTACCATTTGAAGAAAAAATGGTATTTAAAAAGTAAATTTAGTAAATCAGAGTTCTCAGCTAATTCTAACCACGTGACATAAAATAAAGAGAGCCTATGATATCATCATCCAGTGTAGGATCTAATGCAGTTGAAGACAATCATTAGCACGGAACTACTGACGCACTACGATCTGTCCACGCCAATCATCATGGCCGCAGACGCTTGAGCTTTTGAACTCAGTACTGTCATCTTACACCAGTTCCCGGACGCAACAGAGAGAGCTATTATGCATAAGATGGTGGTTGGAAAAAGTCAACAGGAAACCCTGAACCCGAATTTCCTGCTATTTGGCACTCGTCAACAAGGTGTACCTGTAATCTTGAGGGAACTGGTGCTCCCTGACGGATTCGATCTCGTGTCACTCAGATTCACAGTCAGAGACGTTACCACTGAGCTATTCGGGCCGCGACCGTAGGACTGAGGTGTAATCACAATTGCTTGATCACTGGGTGGTGATCAATGTCATGCGTGTCAAGTCCTTCTTAGTGCTGATCGAATGCTATCGATCAAGTTGCAATGTGGCCACATCCTGTTCGATACCTTTAATCCGCCGGTAGTCCTAACACAGGAAGAAGCACAAGTCGATCTACGATCCAGAAGGTAGTCATTATGCCAACGGCGACAGATGTTCAAAATGCAAGTGGACCCCAAGAACGTTCGTTATTAAAAGGGGAGGTGTTTGGGGATGTTAAATCCCCAGAACTCACTTGGTAAGTGACTTATTTTTGTAATTTTAGTTCGAAATTTTGAATTTCTTTGTTTTCGCGCCAAAAGCGCTCCTTTCACCTTCGAGTCGTATTTCCCACTTGGAAATATCTTAAACGCTATTGGTCTGTTGTATCTTTTAGTGTGCTATTTTGTAATGCTTCCCGAAGACAATTTTATGCTGTATATATACGCTTGATTTTTTCCTGTTGTGATTGCTTGTGCTTCTGGCTGCTGACGGAATATATCTTTCCCACTTTCAACTTGGACTTCTCACTATATTTAGCGGGTCTGGGACGCGTCAGAATAGCTAGCTCATTGGTATCTGGTTACAAGTCTTTGTTTCGTTTGCTGACTAAGTGAATTCAAAACCGCTTCAGACATAACAGGTGGTGGCGTGAGTGATGCGATCGATTAACGTATAGTGAAAGCCAGAGCGGCTTATGCCAATCTGGGCCATCTTTGGCGCCTTCGTGATGTTAGTCTGGCTGTAAAAGGTCGGATCTACAACGCGTTGGTGAGAGCAGTTTTGCTCTATGCTTGTGAAACCTGGCCTCTCCGAGTTGAGGTTGTTAGACGACTCTCTGGATCTGATCATCGTTGTCTCCGAAGGATTGCTGACATCCAGTGGCAACACCATGTTAGTAATGCACAGGTTCGGCATCGTGTGTTCGGGCGCAGAGACGATTATCCAATTGGCATCACCATCTTGAAACAACGACTTCGGCGACTTGGACATGTTCTGCGAATGCCATCCCCGAGAATTTCTCGTCGTGCATTATTTGCAGACACTGAGACTGGTTGGAAAAAGCGGAAAGGTGGTCAGTGTATGACATGGTGTCGTGATATGAAAGAAAGCTGCAAAGGGCTAGCTTCTGTTGGTTCTTCCCGACTCCCTGGCTGGGGTCCGAGAGGTGGAGCAACACAGCGGCTAGAGACGTTGTCAGATATGCCTCAGAATAAAAGCCAGTGGCGAGCCTACTGTAACCTTCTTTAAGTTACTTCATAAAAAGTGGTTATAACTTCCTTAACTGAAAGAGTTCTTCTGGTTATACATTTCTGTTTCCCCCAATATTACTCTTATTATTACACTAACATACACTAATCTGTGGTTGCTATTCTTCTTCATTTTTTTCTATGCACTTTACTCCCTTTTTTCTCTCCCCATTCTCATTGTTTTTTTGTGGTGCATATATATCTGTGCCCCCTTGCACCAATATTTATGTGTTCAAATAAATAAATAAATATTTACTATAGAAGGGGTTTTGTGGAGATTTAGTATTTATCATTGTTGAAAGCGTGAGTCAATTGAAGCTAGAGCACCATGGAAAACCTGGAAACACTGGACGGCCGTTTCGTCCTATTATGGGACTCCTCAGCAGGAGTGCTGATGAAATGATTAATATAATAATATGCTCACTAGTGATTTCGAGAAGTATATCTAGGAGCTCTAGTGAGAAGCAGTGACCAGTGGAGTTCAAAACCACGTCTGTTGTGAGATAGAAACTCACTGAAGGCAATTGGTGAATGGTTGCTCAACTTCGTGAATCAGTTGAAGTTAGACATTAGCACCGTTGGATGCCAGCTCAGTGGTCTATCGGTTAAGGGCTTCGGCTTGAGACTGGTAGGTCCTGGGTTCGAATCTCGCTCGGGAGAGCAGGTTCGTGGATGCGCACTGCTGAGGAGTCCCATAATAGGACGAAACGGCCGTCCAGTGTTTCCAGGTTTTCCATGGTGCTCTAGCTTCAATTGACTCACGCTTTCAACAATGATAAATAAATATTTCTCCACTTCAGGAGAATGGAAATATTTCTAAGAAGTAGATAGTAGCAATCAGTAAATTTAACGTTATAAGTAAATGAATAAAAAATAAAAATAAATTGATAGTTATATGACACTAGTAAACGTCGTCCAAGTTGACTAACGGTATGTAGACTTGCAACCAAAAATTAATTCTTAAACAATCAACTCTAATGTTAAATAATATTCTAAGTGAATTAACAGCAATAAGATGACTATATTCAAAAACAATCAACATACCTTTTCGAACTGATGAACACGAAATATCCCACGAGTATCACGACCATGACTACCAACTTCTTGTCTGAAACAAGTCGAGATCCCTGCATACTTAATCGGTAATTGATCAATGGGTAACCATTCGTCTTGATGAAATGCAGCGATCGGTTGTTCGGATGTTGCAATTAAATATTTCTCTTCCTCTTCAGTTTCATTTGCTTGTGAATCATGATTGGTTGTGACGTTGAGTTCACGACGGCCTGTAACCTGAAGAAATGAAAATAAGTGTTAATTTAGTGAAATCTAATAATTACATGTACAGAAAAATAACATTTAATATATAAAGGATGGGATAGTAAATACAGTGAATCCATCTCAACTCAACCCTGTGGCTTTCTAGCTTGATAGCACGTGTCCAGATCACTAAGCCATTAAATTAAATTCACATGGTAAATAACTGACAGTGTAGTACTGTTAAATACTAGTATGTGATGGAGACAAAATTCTGATGAGCAACGACCATCAAGATGAAATGAAAAAATAGAAATGTATGATTTGAATGGGTTATCGTGTTTCCTTTAATCACCAATTATCATACCTGATATCTCGACATACTCATATTCCTTGATGATGTGAGTATTAACACATAAATTCATTGCCCTCAAAAGCCCTGGTACGGCCGAGAGTGGGGAGAGTCCGCTCTCCCTCTTGAAATGCTCTCACATGTTCACGCGTATATAGCCTCTGTCAGGGAAGTCCTACTCATTACCTTCACGTGACGGGGGTGTTGTTTAAGAAATTGAAAGGACAAAAAGCGAATGTCCGGTACTTTAACCGGGTTGGTGGACACGAAAATTCCACCTAGGGGAGTTGAAAAACCCTGATTCCAAACCAATGGTGTTGCCCCTTAAGAAAATCACCTGCATCGGTCTGGGCACCCGGGCAGTATCACAGCCCTTACACAAATCAAATGAGATTTGTGTGGCGCATATGTATCTGGTGCCCCATTGTACCAATATTTATGTTTAAATAGAAAATGGTGCCCCATAAATTCAATGCCTATGATATGGCATTACGAATGAAGCAAAAAACTAAAAAAACTGATACTTCTAATGAATTAATAATAGTGGATTATAGGACTATAATACAATTAAACAACCAAGTATCGGCTATGATATCGGACGTTAAGCTATAAACACTTAGTGTAGAACTTAACGATAGTACCAAGCTATGCAAACAAGAGTAGGTGGAACTAGACTTGAGAGCATCACCTAACGGCTGAAATGAGATATTTAATCACCAATCTACTGTGAAATGGCAGCTCGTAACAGTTAGTAATGTGATTAGACTACTTCTCTATAAACTTTTGAGCATAACTCTTAAGTATCATATGATATGAAGCTTTTTTATAGAGTTAAGATTGATTAATGCATGGAACTAGCTCTATAGAACTCAGAAAACCACGATTAATTATTGTGAACAGCTAGACGATTCCATCTCTGTACTGACTTTTAATTAGATAGATTTAATAAAAATTTAGAATAATTCATTGCATTTATTGAACGCAACTAAAACTATGGATTAGATAAATGAAAGTTAACCTATTTTCATTCTGTTAAACAGAACAAAGAAATTTTCTAATCATGGTGAAATCTTAAGACTTACTTTGTATAATTCTTCATCAAACTGACTTAACTGAGCGACTGCTCGCATAGCCTCCTTGCGCATAAAAAATGGAGTGTACAGTGGCGTAAAACCACGTTCATCTAACATTTGTAGAGCTAAGTTTATGATTGCTTGTTCCAGGAAGACTAGCGGCCCCTATAAAAAGAGCAGCAAAAAAAATTGATAGTCTTTATGTAAATATAAAGTTATCATCAAAAAACGCCAATATAAATCCGGGCAAAAAAGGTAAGGCTAAAAATCTTGTAAGATGAAAGACTATGGTAAAAATAGGAATAAAACAAAAATAATTACAATGCCATAGTAAACCTTGAAAATCTCTGTTTTCATAATACTTCTAATTAAATTAGTGTTGGGGATGCTAGATCCCCAGAAAACATTTGGCAGACGTCTTATTTCTGTAATTTTATTTTGAAAATTTCGGATTTCTCATTTTCGAAACAAAAGCGCCCAATTTTATCTTCCCACTTGAAAGGACTTAAAATGTTACTGGTTTATCCCTTCTTTCAATATGCTATTTTGTGACGTTTCGAAAGGATATTTTAATGCTATAAATATACGTTTAAAGTGTGTGCTCGTTGTTGTTAGTTTTTATGGCTGCTTGTGGAATATACCTTTCCTTCATCTGAACATGGCTTCTCCCTCTAGTTAGCACAGCTGAAAAACATTGGAATAATTTAACTTGTCTTGTCATCGTATCGCTGACCTTTCGTTCCGTTCGCTGACTTTAGGTAATCCCGTAATCTCTTCAAACATAGCGGTTTGTGATTGAGCAGATAGGAGTTAGGGAACACAAGAACAAAAAAACAATCCTAAACCAAAGTTTATGATACTTTCTCCACAGATGATCCCAGGCATAAAGATGTTAGGAACAACCGCAATTACTTGAAATATTCAGCATTAGGCAGTATATAAATGTTCCTGGACCAACGACGGCCAAAAGTAATTCATTACAATTATCACAGAGTTATAGATAAGTGTTCGTTTTGGTTGATCGATTGACTATATGGTTTTATATGAAGTGTTCCGAGAGATGTTACCTTACGGGAAGCTAAATTACTGACTAAATGAAGCCGAATGAGCTGATATCAAAAGATAGCATGACTATTGGAGTATCTGTTAATCTTGTCTAGAAACTCAGAAATCTTCATGTTTTAACCAACTACCTGAGGGAGAACAACACTCAAAATCATATTTCTGTGTTTAAAATTATCATTTCAACTCAAGACTGACTGAATAAATTTTAACACATTTGCAATGAGACCCAATGGGGGATATAAATATACACTGTTGAAACAAACAACCTTTTGACACAAAAGTTGTATGGCTAATGTTAATCCATATATATAGTGCTGGACGTACAGGTAGAACTATAAGGTTTGATAGAGCAGTGTTTCGTTGATAATCTCGAAACACTCAAATAGTTAAATCAATCGAATGCCACTATCACTCTTAACAAGGGTTAGATTTTCATAGCTGATAATAGTAAATAAAGTCTAAAAACTAAAGACGAGGAAGGAGTAGTTTCGAAAACTAGTCTTTATTAGGAAATAAAGCACAACCAGTTAGGAAATGGACACTAAGGTCAAAATTAAATTCGATATTTGGTGCCTATTCAATTGTGCTTGTGGACCCTCGAGTACATTAGTTTTGGGGAAAAAAACAAAGAACACTTTCACAAATTTGTATATGGCAATTTTATATGATTGAATAACTCGTCCAATATTTGAGATTATGTGTACTATTAGCTAACCGTATAAAAGTGATGTATCCAAACTACAAAAACTGAATAACTTATTAATTATAACTTTTTCGGTAGGAAAACTATTACACCCGATAAGTTAAAACCACTTAGTGCGGTATCAATAACGTGCAACTATATGCTAGCATGATTTAGAAAATCGCACACACATACTAACCTTTAAAAAATATCCACGACCTCCGGCTACTGTACTTCCACGTTCACCGTCAAAACCATCTACCATTATCACTAAATCAACATGAGATAAAGGTTTTCGAAAATCGCTCTTTCCGAAAGTTCGAATAACCAAATTGTCTTCCTAGTCAAACGAATATATGCATAGAACAAATTTTAAATGAGCGCCGAATGAACCACTAGTAGTGAAAAATACCATTAACCACGTACATTTACACAATATCGTAACGAGGCAATAATTGTGCAGTTAAGTTGAGAAAGTCAGGTAATCCAGTCAGTTTTTCATAGACGTAAGACCGAGCACAAATGTGCAATAGATCAATTTAATGCACTTCACGTTAGTACGGGAGAGCATATAAAGGTAAAATTAAGTGGTAGATATAGAAACAGTATGCATGAAAGCGAAGAATCAGATGTAAACATCTAAAAGATTAGTCGTTGAGATCAACTCAGGCAAGTCTTTTCATAGGTAAGCAATAAAGGCAATCTAAGCAAAACCAAACAAATTTTATGTTTCCAGTCAGTCACAACGTAGAACTTCGTACGTACGTAAATTAGTCAGAGTTGCCATACCAAATCAACACAGAGATGCAGTTGTCGATTCAACTCCCATATTGGTAGAAGTAGTAAGAGCATAAGTATTATGTGAAAGATATGGGTTTGAAGATGTTATTCAAGGAGTATAATCCAGTGAAATAAATTTGGAAAGAGAAAAACGATAGAAACATGAAGAATTCAGAAGATTAGAATTTCGTAGAACACAAAGAGTGGATGCACCTTCGCCATTGCAAACGATTCTGAGCCATGTCATTCAAAGTCTCTAACCATCGGCTGCTATCATCTCGCGAATCCCAACCAGGTAGTCTACACCTACCAACATGGCTCAGTCCACTTGTCAGTGACTTCATTGATTCGTGCCACGTTTTGGTCTGGCCACCCCTAGCTTTCTTCCAACCTACTCCTACACCATGAAACATTGCACGTCGGGGCAGTTGGTGGTCGGGCATACGTAACATGTCCCAGCCATCTCAACTGAAGAAGTTTCACTACTTCATCAATCGATTTGCCATACTTACCTAGTACCCGTTTCCTAACAACTAAATTACTTACCCGGTGGTCCCAGGATATACGAGCAATGCTTCGAAGACACCTATGATTGAAAACTAGTAGCCTACGAATATCCTCTACTCTTATCGGCCATGTTTCACTGCCATAAAGTAGGACGGAGCGAACTGCTGCACAGTAAACCCGTCCTTTGGTTGCTAGACGGATATCTCGCCTACGCCATAAATGACGCAAGTTGGCGAAAGCTAGACGAGCCTTCTGTATCCGTGCTGAGATTTCGTCACATACCAGACCACAAGGGCTGATGAGACTCCCAAGATAAGTGAAGTGGTCTACACGCTCAAATACTTCACTCCCCATCATTAGTTCAGGTGTCGCTGCAACCCAATCCTGAAGTAACATTTTGCACTTCGAGGGAGAGAATCGCATCCCGAACATGCCTGCATTGTTGCTTATGGTGGTCAGAAGACTCTGCATGTTGTCAGCGTCTTCACCGAGTAAAATTATGTCGTCGGCGTATTCTAAGTCAACAAGTGAGCCTCCTGGTAAAAGTTCAACTCCTGGAGGTTTGGCTGATGAAAGTGCTATCTCTAAAAGTATGTCAATGACAAAGTTAAACAAGAATGGGGAGAGTGGACAGCCCTGACGAACGCCACTAGTGGTAATCAGTTCTGATGACAGTTCGCCATAGGCTCTAACTCGACCAGTTGTGCTCGAGTAGAGAGCCTTTATGAGGTTAATGTACTTCTTTGGTACTCCTTTCAGTGACAAACATTGCCATAGAACCTCACGATCAACGGAGTCAAATGCCGCCTTAAGGTCAAGAAATACTACTATTGTGAGACGTCTGAATTCGGGTCTATGTTCTAGAACCTGACGTAGGGTGAATATCTGGTCTATGCAACCACGTCCAGGTCGAAAACCAGCCTGGTTTTCTCTAGTCTGCTCTTCACGAGCTTTGGTTAGGCGACCTAGTATTATTGAAGCTAATATTTTAGACACTATATTAGTCAAACAGATTCCAATGTGATTGTCACAGGAGAACTTTTGTCCTTTCTTATAGACTGGCACAATCAGTGGTTGGGACCAGTCAGATGGAATTACGTCCAGTTCCCAGATTCTACCTAAGACCTCAGTCAATCTCGTTGCTAGTACTGGACCACCATTCTTAAAAATCTCAGGGGTCAACCTGTCAGGGCCTGCGGCTCTCCCTCGCTTCAGATTTCCTATAGCATTTTTAACCTCGTAGAGAGTTGGAGGACTTACATCAATTTGCCATTCAGGACGACTGGGGATCGTGGGTAATTAAAGTGTGGCTGAAGGCCAGTTGAACTGATCCCTAAAGTGTTCTGCCCATCGATCCAATCTCCTGGATTGAGAATGAATAATATGCCCATCTTTATCTGAGATGGTTTCACTGATATTCGGGTTCCTAATACCGGTTTCTTTAACGAGTCTGAATAGCTGCCTACTGTTACCTATTGCCGCTGCCTTTTCCATCTCTTTTGCTTTCGCTACCCACCACTGTTCACGATCATTACGTAGGCTTCTTATAAGCCTGCGCTTAAGTTGACTCCGCTCTTCGTTATGCTCAGAGCCAGGTGGGATGAGTTTACGAGCATCTATCAGTGCGGTAGATGCTGCCCAGATCCATTGTTTCTCCCTAACGTTATGGTTTACCTTACTAGCGGATATCACTGCTGTTTCCACAGCTTTTCTGATGTTATTCCACGCTGCCTCGGGGTGGACACAACTTACATGTCTGTCTAACTGTTTTTCCAGTTGTTCCTGAAATATATTCTTAGCTGGCCAATCATTAAGTAGAACCCTTAGAGGCTTCCCTGCAGTGTCTTTACTACGACCAGTAAGACGCAGACAGATACGTGCTCGCACTAGAGCATGATCTGAATCTAAACATGTGCCCCAGAATGAGTGAGTCTTCTATCGAGCCCCTCCATCGGTGGCTGATAGCGATGTGATATATTTGAGTCCAACGTCGGGATGAATTTGGGGGATGCCATTTTTGAAAGATGTTTTTCCTTATGCTTAAAGTTGGTATTTGCGGGAAACAGGTGGTTACCTAAGCATAGCTGCAATAGACGGTCGCCATTATCTGTTCTTTTCGCCATGACACCATTAGATCCACCCAGGTGTCTTTCCCTTTCACTTAATTTACCTACTTGAGCATTGAAGTCATCAGCTACTATTACCACATCAGAACGCCTAGCTTCTCGGAGAAGGTCAAAAAGTTTCCTGTAGAACTCATCTTTTATATCGTCTGAGCTGCAGTCAGTGGGAGAGTAGGCAGAGACGACGAAGAGGCAACGACGAGTTTCCCTATCTTTCCGGGTCCTTACTGATCCGTTTAGTCGGACAGCGCACAGACGACTGTCTACTGGGATCCAGTCTAAAAGAGCTAGTTCTGCCCTAGGACTTAGTGCCATACCTACTCCAGCGAGGGCACGGGAAGCAGCATCAGGGCTTCCAGATACACGAAGCGTGTATCGAGATGAAACTTTATTTTGATTAGGTGCGGTCAAATGAATGACACTACTCGGATCTTATATGCGCATTTCGGAGACGCAGCAAACATCGATGGTGCGAGATCCTAAAGTCTTAGCTAAAGACAACTATTGTCCTATTTGGCACAATGTTCGTACGTTAAACGTTCTCACATGTAGTTTAGAGCTCGGTTTCAGGAGACCAGGAATAACGTTCCGTGTACTTGAATCGTTTGCCCTATTGGTGCGAGGTGATAAGGGGACGTGAGAAGGGTTAGTCGTAGGGATAAGAGAGTTATTAGGTGTAGGAAGGATTTGATTGTGGCCAACTTCATCTCGTGTGTTTTTACGGGTATGGAGGCTAATATCATTTTCCGGCTGCCCACACCGTGAAAGGGTATTTCTTGAAAGACCTAAAAACGAAGTTGGAATAATGTTGGTCGTAACGACCTGGGAGTGTGACCGCAGAGCCCAAAGTATAACTGCTTGAGACCGGTCACACACGGCCTTTTGTGGGTTTTTGACGTTAGTAACATTCTCCAAAGGGCTTTACTGCCGACGGAAATTCGTGGAGTAAAGTGAAGTGACATTTTTAGGGTCGAACTTTTTAAACCCTCCCTTCCTTGTAAGAAGGCTGCATCACTGCAGATGCTGGTTGTCCGAGGGAAACACCTTACTGCTGTCACACCCCTTTACAGTCAGTAGCACGACTTCGCCCTTAGACCTTGGGTTTCCTGCTTTCAATCTAACCGTTCTTCAATCGACCTGCCTGGCATAGTAGAACCTACAGGAACATATGTTCCAGCCAATATAGCTCGGTTGGGTCATCAAGATTGGCACGCCTGACCACCACATCAAGGTATCAGCTACGGTCGAGACGACCATTTATGAAAGTTTTTCATCTATCACTGATTACAACTCATTATTTTTTAGTAGTCTGAACTAAAAAATGTGTGTTTTATACTGTACGTTGAAAGACATCAACAATAAAGCAATACACTTTACCAACTTGAAAGAGTGTACGCCGATACCAAGTCCTGGGCTATTGATGAACTGATTTCAGCAACTAAATTAACGTTGAAGTACTACATGATAATATCTATTCAACGCCAGAGGGCTGGAGTTGCAGACTGAAATCAGGCCTTCGGGGATAGGAAAAAGTTAAATTATGATTTGTTAGTTATGGATTATAGATAGACCATAACTAAACATATAAATAATAAAGACTGGCACATTGACTTTGGTTATCAGATAAACCTTGAGCTTGATAAGTGGATATGAAAATCTTGTTTTGAGTGAGTTAGTAACGGAAATTTAGACAAAATGTCCCGCAATTAGATATTATCACGGCTTCAACTCTGTCATATTGGGCAAAAAAAGTATTTTTTAACACTATCGAATAGTAACAGACTAACATTTTTCAAAAAGCAACACCTCGGTGAAACATACCTCATTGTTGCTTATCGGTACATCTGGGTGTAGAAGATTACCAATCTCATACAATTGCTGCTGTCTTACAGACTCGAACTCCACTACGAAGGCTGCATTTTTCTTTGTTTCTTCATCAATAAGACAGGACAAAGACTTTAACTGTGCTACACTCAAGGACTGAAACATAGTGACCAACAACTGTCCTACCTGCAAATCAGCTTCCACAAGTGAATCAAGGCGATCAAATACATCACCAAACAAATTAGACTCGAAATCCGGGCCATCTATGTTTTCCTAAAAATCAAATCACAGCAGTCATAATTTACTTTAATCTTCTTAGCAATAGTTTTGCTGCAGAAGTTCTTTACTTTGTTTAAATGATCAGCTCTGAAACGTGCTACGAAGTTCGAGTAACCATTTACAGTCTACCTTTCCGCCAACTCTCATCTGCTTCTAATAGCAAATCGACACGTTTAGTACCTCTGAATCTTTTGATTTCATTGGAACGAATAAGTTCAGGATCACCTCCTTTATCGACTCTGAAAAGATCTAAATCTAGCACCATGATGGTAACGTCATACACTAAAGCACCGCTATTAGATCTCAAGGTCAAATGGTTCAAGTGGTTGAGGACGGAATAGAAGAAGCTTTCGCTTAACGGGCTTCCGTGTCTGGTAGCAGTAGATCACCAATACCTTCAGGCAAAAACCTAGGTATATTAACGATAATAGGGGAAAAAAGAAATTGGTAAATCATAGTAATCTGTTATACTTAGTCCTTAAGAATAAGTCAAGATTCCTCTTAAAGGACTCCTGGGAGGTCGCTTGGAATAGCTCAGTCGGCAGCGAATTACAGCACTTGACAACTCTAACGGAGTAGAAGTTGTGTCTGCAGTCTGTTCTGCTATGTAGGGTCTCCAATTTCTGGGTGTTACCTCTCAGGTTAGTGTTATGACTAAGCTTAAGAAGATGTTTAAGGCGATGACCAGAAGTATTAAGGATACTGTAAGTCATAAGAAGATCACCTCTAAGACGACTGTACTCTAACAGGTAAAGGTTAAGAGATTTGAGGCGCTCTTTATAAGGTTTGAATTTGAGTCCTCGAACTGATTTAGTGGCTCGACGTTATATACTTTCCAGAGTGTCCTTATCCTTTTGGAGGGAGGGAGGAAATACTATGTTTCCATACACTAAGTGGGGACGAATAAAACTGTTGAAGATTATATGGAAGGTTCTACCGTCAAACTGGCCAAAAATGTGCTTCAATGTTACCAGTGCAAGGTTTGCTTGAGAGGCGTTTTTGTCACAGTTCGCATACGATTTCAGGTCATAGGGTACCAACACTCCTAAATCTTTTTCAACTTGGGAAACTCCTAGAAACTTCTAAGTTATAACTATAGTCTGCAACATGTCTCAGATGGACCACCTTGCACTTTGAAGTGTTGAAGGTAAATTCGTTGTCGTCTGCCCAACTTTGAAGTCGGGTCAGATCCTCCTGAAGAACTAGCATATCATTATGACTACGTATCTCTCTCCAAAGTCTCACATCATCAGCAAAAAGCAATAAGTTAGATTAAACTTGTTAAGGAAGATCGTTAATATAAATCAAGAATTGAAGAGGTCCTAGTATTGCGCCCTGGGGGCCCCACTAGGACATTCCATAGCCTGAGAGAGAGTGAAGTCAACCCTGACATTAAAGTGTCGGTTTTCTAAATATGAAGAGAGCTAATCAATCAAAGGGTGTTTTATACCAAATCGTCTAAGCTTCTTGATAAGACATACGTGGTTGACCATATCAAAGGCTTTTGAGAAATCCAGGTAGATGACGTCAACCTTCCCCTTGCGATTAAGGATGGTTGCCCATCTGTCCACCGCAGTTAGCAGGTTGGTCATACAAGAATGACCTTTTCTGAAACCATGCTGTTGAGGTGAGAACTTTGAGGATGATAAGTATTCTAGTAAACCGTCGTATATTAGAGATTCCATAATTTTTGAAGGTATGGAGAGAAGGGCCACTGGTCGGTAGTTTGAGGGTTCACTGCGTCGCCCTCCTTTGAAAATTGGTGTGATGTGGTCCAGCTTCGGGGAATCTTCTTCAAAATCACTTTTACTACTTCGGCTAATCTTTGCACTTTATAAGCACATAGTTTATTTTATTCCTAACGATGTTAAACAATGAGTCTGATACCACTTTCTCAGCATCAGGCATTTGATGGCCATGTAAAAACGAAATCTGACAAGTTTGGTCTGCCTGAATTTTTAAAATTGTTAAGCGATATTGGAGGTAATGAGGTAAGATGAGTGTGACATGGTTTCACCCGAACAATTATTCAACACTCACAATCTTATTTGAAGACTACTTCACGTTTTGTGATGAAGTGAAGCTCTTTATGTTTCAGAACCACCACATGGGATGTAGAGAAGTCTAATCAAAATCTTGATATCTTTTGTTCAGTTGCTGTTAAGATTGTTTGGTCTCTGAATAAAATACGAACTAGATACTGGAATTTGGCACAAGACTTTTGTTTTCATATTCAAGTCTATGACCATGTTCTGCTGCGTAACCAAGTAAACAGTACGATACCCATTTGGTCACCTGATTTTTCTTTGACTACAATAAACAAGTGGTAATCTCAAATGTAACACATTGATTTGGCTTCATACGCTAGATGAAAAGAGCGAATGATCTTGAAACCTTGATGCAATCTGTCATGGTTTTGTCTCCATACCCATCAGTGATGAACCCTGTTTACAGGGTAAACAATATAATAGGCTACGATCATGACTTTGGTTCTCTGGCTCCCAGGAAAACCCAAGAATATTGTCTCTTACGGTTCTCTGGTCAACGCTTCAGCGAAGAAAGTACCACTACTCTGTTTGTAAGATCTTGAAGTGTTCAGATCGAGAAACCCGTATTCTGACAAAGAACCTAATTGATAGTTTATAAACGCCTCTGTCATTTTCCTAGGTTTAGGTACAAGATTCCGATATGTTATGTTTTACTACCAATCTGCGTAACGAATATGATCATCTTGGAACTCCATTTGCACTTCTCAGCTGAGCATGAGGGAAAATGATTTTGGCTATTCTAAGATCTTGTGCTTCAAATGTAACTAGGTTTACCCCTCCATTCTCCATCTAAGAAAAAAGGGGAATAAATCCTCTTATTAAAGTTTACGCTTTTCGAAAATTTCTCTGACGACATTTTCAACTTGGTTACGATGACCTTATTCCTTGCCTTTACTTTTACTCCCATGTCATCATTCATCTAATGCTTGGTGTCTTTATCATAGATCTGTGGATGACGTAACGTCGCGATTGACTATGATCACCACGACAGGAAGATTACGTGCCAGGTATCGACGTGGATCTTTCGGTAGACCAAAAAGCAGGAGGCCTTTGATAGTTGCCATAAGACATATTTGTTGGCGAACTCGTGATATCGAAAGAATACCTAAACGTGTCAAAGTTTACAGGCGTAACTCTCGATCGTAAGCGCGTTCGTGCAAGGTCACAGGCAACGGAAGGATGTACAGTTAAACAAACAAGAACCGTGAAACAATCACTAGTACAATTGGTTATAATAATAATTGTTTCCATTATACCAATCACGTTCTTGTCACAAAAGTAGGTCACTAAAGATCTTTGAAATTAAGTTGCTAACCCACGCCCAACTCTTCTTTTTTATCTAGACTTGGAATTGGTAGTAATCATAGGACTCCAGGTGAAGTTTACAACTTACTTATTCCATTCATTATTGTTGTCGGAGACGAGCAAAATACGGTTAAACGACAAAGTAAGTTGAATATGCACATCATCTTAGATAATGAACACAATAGTCAAACGAAAATGCTGGTGAATCCACTAATTTAAAATATGGAGAGTATAGCCATATTTCAGAAATTACACGTGCAACTATCTAATTATCTCTTGTAAATAATGACGCCGTTTTGCAGGTCATTCAAACGGCTGAGCAAGCAAAATATGTGATGACAGTGAACATCTGGCAGATGTTAATTCGAGTCCCTAAAAATGCTACACCACATGAAGAAGACAAAAATTTAATAACTAAGATGATCTAACGTAGGAATAATTATGTTGTATGACTGGACAGTCACAAATTGTTATAAACGTCAGCGAAAAGTTTAAAGTGTACAACAGATAAGATAGTCACTCATTTCGGAAAGAAACTGACTCCATATTATAGTTGAACACGAACTGTCGTCACTTTTTAAAATATTTTTTCAAGGAAGATCAACTGAACTGTAGCATCTTCGTAAGTCCTAGTAACATTCATAGGTCAATCTGTTTCACAGAAAATCCATACTATCAGAAACTAACACTGTTTCCCTAATTTTCTAGAATGCCTCCGGATTAATTACAAAGAAATGCAAACATACAGTTTCGGGAGAATAAGAGCCATTGTTAGAGAAATAAAAATGAATCCTAAAAATATAAGAGTCTGCATTCCACCAAGACAGTATGCTGGTTTCAGAAATAATTTAATTTGTTGTAATCAGGTGTTTCACTTCGTGAAAATGTCTCCTTACAGAAATATCAGGAAGAAGTTCAGAAGCATTACATTCCAAGCGTGATACTGTTGAACCACATTCTGTTTCTAAGGAAAGCATAGAGCTCATATGCATGACCATCATGTTTTGAAATCTTAACTAGTTATATAACAAGGTGAGCGCTCAATTGAAACATCACCGTCTGAAAGTAGTCCGGAATGTCTTTCACTAATTTATTTAAGCGACACATGCACTCAGCTAACACTATATAACTATTTCATGACATGGTCTTCTCATTTATATTAGAAATGGTTGGTACTACTTAAAAGAATAGTTAGGAAACGAATCTCAGTTTGATGTTAAACTTTACCTCTTATAAGTGGTCAAAGCTTGTCAACTACTGAAAATAATGTAAATGTAACATTTTACCATAACTTCAGAGTTTCATCTACACATTTTCGAGACACAAACAGTTAAAGACGATACCTCAGTGTCACGAGAACAAATACTTTAATTCCCATTGATTCAATAGATAATCCCACTTTCCTATAAAATGGCCTAGCAAAACTGGTAATAAATATTTATTTCCGTTAATTCAGATCCTCTTTTCCAATACCACTTTCATTTCATATTTGTGTTAATTATTCCTGATTGCTTACATAACGGTTTAGTTTCCTATTCTCATTATTTAAAGATAGTCGGATTACCTTAGAGGCGCGTCGTGATACCGCAGCCTTTGATTATTAATCAAGGAGAGTGTCGACTATCTATTTTTATCGAGAGTAAAACGGAAGATAAATTGGTGTCAGATATTAAATTCTTCAGTAAAACTTGCACTTAAATTAACACAGTACACTGCGCTGCATGTATAGGTTTGAATAAGAATCAGGGAAGCGGTTACTTGTTAAATTAGAATATCCCAGTAGCCATTGGTACATAATGGATGCCTACTAAGAATTTCATGCACAAATTATCACTGGAAACTTTTGTTGCTACACCATGATGAAATCTTGAAGTTATGAAATCGATGAGTACCAAATCAAGTGACAGAAAGAACTACAGGTGTTTCACCACTAACAAATCTCTCTCTTATGTCCAGACGAGGATAACGAATGGTGACTGTTGGGATCTATTTATGGACTAATGCTATACATATATTCATATCTTATAATTATTAAGTACCTAGATTATATATATTCACACTCCTATTACTATAAGCTTTATTTTGACATATAGACTGCTATCATACGATTTACTATTCCTAAGTTATGCCCAGTTTATCGATAACAGTCTGCCACAATCACAGCTTGATCTTGTACGAATGTTATTTCCTATTTTATGATGTGATGTAGTCTGTTTGGCTTGTACGTAAACCTGGTATATTTGAAATAAATGATTCGTATAGTGGAAGCTGGTATGACTGTTCTAAACTCAACTGGCAGGGCTAAGAGGGAAAAGGACCAATAAGGACGCTAGACTGCTCATACCAGTCGATACGTCTTATTCCGATTCGAAAATAAATAGCGTGATAATTAACCAAACTTAAAGGCACAACACTTTTTCCGATTTGTTCTTTATAAACAAGTGCTTCGTTAACGTAGTCGCTATTATTTTGAAGCATAAAATCCCCGAAACCAAAAATCACAGAAATGAATTGATTAGCTTGAAAAAATTATTTCACTCAAAGAGACAGTAATAATGAACATAGTCAATTAGCAATGTTAAAAGGGAAACGCTCGGAAAAATACCATATAGCACATACTCCTTCTAAGATTGGACAGGTAAATACACAGAAACAAGTGACATGCAGATAGAACTTTATTGTTCACATAAATAAACTGCATAGATACAAAAATAATCAGTTTTGTCATACAGTTACCTATTCTCTGATAATTTGAGTACATGATAAAAACACGAAGTTTGATTACGCTGTACAATATATTACAACAGTCTTATTCGACAGTTAGGTTCACCACAATAACAGTAGAGAACTTTAAATGGTACTGCATCAACAGTATATCCATAGTCCCAAGTCATTTCTTCTCCAACGTCTATATTCCTGAAATTTATATAGATAATCAATACGAAAAATATCACTGTAGTGTAGCTCACGTATTAAAATAAAACACGAAACTGCATAATTAAACCTGTAGAAAACAAAATCTCATCACTTAAGCAATAATTCACCCTATTAGATTACTGATAGTTTAAATGAATGATCGGTTGAAGTTAAATGGAAATAAAAATCATATAAATCTCTAAGCTTTTCATTAGTTTTGAAGTGAACGTTATAAACAGTACAATGACATCAAACTAGTGGTGAAAATTTCAACTAGTAACTGATTTCGATGAAGCAATGAGAAGACGGAGTTGATCTGTAAAATATGATGCATTTACGCCTTACATTTAGAACTGTAAGTCGAATATTCGTATAAATTATTTTCCAATCGAATTAAATTATCAAAGAAAATACATAATTGGTACAATCATAGAATTTTTAATCTACGATGTTTAAAACAAAATGTTTTTCCTAAATCTTTGATGGTCAAATCTCCTGACAAATCTATTCGTTCAATCAAAGCGGCGATCACAGCCACTAGAACTTTTATCAGGGAACGTATTCACATAGCCACTATGAATTTGGAGTCACTACGTTCAAGGGTAAAGAATATCGATGAAATTCTGTCATTTATCACACCGAAAGAAATAAGATCTAATATAAATGAATTTTTCAAACTCAGAGAACAGTTTTATCATCAATCATCAAAACTACGACAGATTAGAAAGTTCGAAAAAATGTTGAAACATGCGTCAAACAGCAAAATGAAACAAACTAGAGATAAATCGAACACAGTAGATATTAACAAAGTGTTAGTTAATTTATCTGATAGAATTCTCAACTCCCATGAAATTTCATTACTTAAAAAGGGTCTCAATTTCAATATAAATAGACCACATTTATCGTCTTTCAATATTATACCAGCAATCGAACCAACATTGAACATACTTCCTAATGAAACAGCGAATGAATTGAGGAATAAGATAATGTCCGTGTTATTATGTCAAAAATCACAAAAATCTAATATGACTAAAAATGAGTTGCATGCATTAAAGCAACTAAGAAATGATAAGACAATTATCATTACAAAAGCAGATAAAGGTAACACTACAGTCATCATGAACAAATTGGACTACGAGAAAAAAGCAAAGGAACATCTACAAGAGGGACCATATGAACTAATCAAAGTTGAAAAAAGCAGAACTACGCTCAATAAACTTAAGGCGGAAACAAGTAAAATCTTACATTCGTTAAAGGTCAAGCTCGGAACGCCTTTATGGTTTATGCTAAATCCAAAAAGTTGTAACCCTTGTCGATTCTATGAACTCCCGAAGATTCACAAGGATAGTACTCCACTAAGACCAGTGGTCGATTTTACAAATTCACCGACTTACAACCTAGCGAAATACTTAGCTAGAATACTAAAACCGTATGAGAAATTGATTAATCATGGAATTAAAAACTCTATGGAATTTAAAAATATTATTGATACCATCGACATAGAAGAAGAAGAAGTAATGGCAAGTTTTGATGTTTCTTCCTTATTTACTAACGTACCTATCAACAGAGCGTTGGATATTATTTATGCTTGTTTAGAATCTGATTTGGATTTACATTTACGTTGCCCGTTAGAGCCATCTGAGTTTATCAAGTGTTTGGAACTATGTTTAAGGTCCACCTTATTCATATTTCGAGGAGATCTATACAGACAAAAAGAAGGTATAGCTATGGGTTCACCAGTTTCTCCGATTGTTGCGAATTTATTCATGCATTCACTCGAAACTAGTGCAATCGCAAGAAGTGTTTGTCCACCAAAGGTCTGGCTACGGTATGTAGATGACATTTTTGTTATCATTAAACAGGACTATTTGGAAGAATTGTTTACAAATGTGAACAACATTTCGGAACAAATTAATCTAACGAAGGAAATAGAGTCTGATGACCACAAACTGGCATTTCTCGACTGTATGGTTGAACGAAGACTTAATAATAGGAAGTTGAAAATAAATGTTTTCAAAAAATCAACACATTCAGATAGATACTTAGATTTTGATTCGGCGCATGCTTTATGTACGAAAGTCACAGTTGTTAAAAATTTAATTAACAGAAGTCTGAAGCTTGTTACAGATGAAGAAGACCAACAATTTGAATTGAATAGGATTTTAGCTACACTTAGGGATAACAACTACCCAAAAGAGTTTTTAAAGAAGATTGTTAGAAAGGAAAGAAAAGCTAAACTGCAACATGTACAGAAAGATTGGAAGTCCACTGTAGTCATACCATACCGTAGCGAAACATCGGAGGAAATCAAACGGATTTTAAACAAACATGATATAAGAGTGTATTTTAGAACATGTGACACTATAAGATCGTCATTGGTGAAGGTTAAGGATAGGTTACCAAAGAAAGAACAACAAAATATTGTCTATGAGATCAATTGTCATGATTGTAATGCGGCTTATATTGGAGAAACATCCAGACAATTGAAGGTAAGGTTGAAGGAACACAAACAGTGTTTAAAAAACGTTCCCAAAACCTCGGTTGACTTAAAGAAACTTGAGAATAAGTCTGCAATAGCGTTACATGCGTTGGAAACGGGACACATGATTAATTTTGAAGGGGCCAAAATACTTCAGAAAGGTTTCAACACTCACAAAGAAAGATTGACAGCAGAAGCGCTGTATATATGGGCGAATAAGAACAGCCTAAACAGAAAGGATGGTATTCAGCTAGCTACCACTTGGCAAATATTCATCAACAAGTAATTTGACCTTTTTCTTTTATTCAACCTGTTTACTTCACATGAATCGTTATTATGACTGAAATCAATATGAGTTATGTTTAACATTACAATTTATGTACTTGATGATTCTCATTTTTTTTTTTTATAGAGTTGAGATCATGAGTCAATTGAAGCTAGACTACCATGGAAAACCTGGATGATCTCAACTCTATAAAAAAAAAAATACTAAAATCTCCACAAAACCCCTTCTGATAATAATCAGGTGCTCACTAGTGACTGACTCCTTGAGGTATTTCCTGGAGTTCTAGTGAGAAGCAGTAACCGGTGGAGTTCAACCAGGTCTGTTGTGAGATAGGAACTCACTGATGACATTGGTGAATGGTTGCTCAATTTCGTGAATCAGTTGAAGTTAGAAATTAACACCGTTGGATGCCAGCTCAGTGGTCTATCGGTTAAGGGCTTCGGCTCGAAACTGGTAGGTCCTGGGTTCGAATCCCGCGAGAGTGGGTTCGTGGACGCGCACTGCTGAGGAGTCCCATAATAGGACGAAACGGCCGTCCAGTGCTTCCAGGTTTTCCATGGTAGTCTAGCTTCAATTGACTCATGATCTCAACTCTATAAAAAAATACTAAAATCTCCACAAAACCCCTTCTGATTCTCATTTTATTTGCAACTTCGATGATTCAGAAAGGAGAAAAACTTTTCAACCTTCATTATGCACGTTTATTCCTATTTTATTTCACATAGAAACATATCAACACTGAATATCATTCATCATTAATAACTCATCTTACACATACATACATACACACAATTTATGCAGTCTCCTTTAATTCACATCGTTGAACTTTTTCACTTGATTCTCATTCAACTGACTCATATTATCCTGTTGTACAAAAACTTCGACATCCAAATATGATTGGATTAAAAAGTAGTAGAGATTTTGATATGATTGTAAAAACACTATATATTTCTTTGACGATTTTGATTATTTCCCTGAAGAAGTCCAGACAAGTTAGCTGGACGAAACGTTGGAATTATTTAAATTTCAATCGCTGAGACTATTTCAAATATAATTTTTCACATATAATGAACCTGGCCCCTTTTAAACATAATTTTTAGTCGAAAGGAGGTACTATGAGACGGTCAGTTTATAGGAAACAGTATTGGACTGGGCAATATTTAAATTCTCATAGTTTCCATCCTTTGCCATACAAGCGAGGTTTGATTAAGTGCCTTTTTAATTATTTATTTAAAAATAAAACTGTTAGCGGGACATACAGTGGATTGAAGCATGTCCCGTGCACGCTTGAGTTGACGTACGCTGATTGGCTAATTCTTATCTAATCAGTGCTAGTCGATACTTGGTGAACACTTTAGAATCTCATGTAAAAACTATAAATACACTAACTTCCATCTGCCCATGTTATTCGGAATATAATTTTCTTCCTGTTCAACCGTGTTCCGATTTGGGGACTTGTCAAGTGATTTGGTGTCCAAGAATACTAAGCAATAGGAATAGTTGGGTTGTAATAAGAGAAATCATAACAGATACGGTTGAAAAGTTGCTGACTGATACATTAATATCAAATGCTTATCCACTGAAGTTTACAAATAGGTGTAAAAGTCAGTCAACGGCAAGAACTCTCGTTTATTCGGTTTCAAAGAAAAAGGTTTATATTTTTCTCTCACATAGAGGTGAATGCAATAGTATCTTTTAACACAGGAATTAGAAACATCCATCGAGAAAATCTATTATGCTGCTACACTGGTTATGATTGAAAAGACTCAATCCACGATTCGAAAACCATTTCCATTGAAAAAATGAAAATACATGTGCCTAGCAATTGCGATCAATAAACATATACGATGTAATAGTCCGTTAACCCCAGAAAAAAATATGTGTATTGCTGAAGAAAGCAGTAGGTTTATCAATACAGAAATTCCGAACCCATCATATGAGCAAAATAGTCTTCTAAGAAACATTTATTTTCGAATGACTTTTCTAAGTTTACTACTTTCATTCTGATCAGCTACAAAATCACAAAAAATAATGCACGGAATTCTCGTTGCTTAGGAGTAATAAGGAATAGTTAACAAAAACTTATAGATGTAATAACTGGTAACTGAGATAATCACCACAATGGTAAGGTCAAGAATCAAGAGTTTTCAAAGAACAATTATAGGTGTATCATAAAATGAAATGTAAGCACACAGTAATGAATGCTCCACACAACCACACAAAATAAACTAATAAAACTGGTCTACCGGACACAACTTTACGTCATCAAATTTAGCCACACGTTTTATGACAGTAGATGACACTATTTAGTACCTTAAACTCAAGTAGGCGGAGTTCTATTTATTTATTCAAAAACATAAACATTAGTACAAGGAGGTAACAAACATATATGCATCACATAAATCATTCGATTTGTGTGAGAGCTGGGATACTGCCCAAACACGCGAAACGGGTGGTTTTCCTAGGCGACTACACCCTGAGCCTTCGACCTAAAGGTCTGGTCCACAAGGCAGTAGAGCAACGTAAGGATATACAGTCCAATGGTAGCCGGTAACCAACAATACGTTCATACGCCATTTATTCCCTTCAGGATTCTGGAGCACATGTGCACCATTGGTCTGGAATCAGGGTCTTCCAACTCCCGTAGGTGGATCCCCCGTATCCACCAACACAGTTAAAGTGCCAGACATTCGCTTTTCATCCTCTCAATTCCGTAAACTAGGCCCACACCTCGAGAAGACAGTGAGTAGGACTTCCCTGGCAGAGGCTTTATGCGCGTGGCTATGTGAGAGCATTTCGAGAGGGAAAACTGACTCTCCACTCTCTGCTGGACCAGGGAGGAGGAGGGTTCAAAACTAAGACCCAACTGTTGGAAAGCCATTACTTTAACTAACAAATCACTATTTCATAATATCAGTATACTTTGGTTATCACGTCGACTATCATGCTTCCTAGACTTCTGGCTCGTTTAGTGCAATTCACCCATTTAAAACATGTCAAGGAATTTCTAGTTCGCAAATCTCTGAACAAAACACCAGAAATCAAAATAAGTGATCACAAGTATTTGTAACTTAAATTCAAGTGATTACACAAGCGAAATACAAGACTACAATGTACAAGAATTAATTAATCCCACTATACACACATAGAAGACATTTTGAGATTTTTAGACTCCAACATCATTGTAATTAATATGTGTGATCAGACTGTTTGAAATGTATTGCGCTAATATATCACACAGTTCAGATAGTCTTCGTATTCTTATTACACTATCGAAATTCCTTTTCCATTATATACAGAGTAAAAAATTTCCCTCGCCTTTATTACCTTTTTTACTTGAACTTTCATTTAATTGACGTTTATTAATTTACATATAAAATGTGTGACTGGATTGTTCGAAATGTAGAGCGCAAATACATCATATATTTCAGATCAACTACGTTTTCTCATTGCTTTATCGAAATTTATAAAAGGGCTCAATTAATTTAATGATTAATTATCTTCACAGTAAAATAAGTCATTTTTAAGAGAAAAAGCACCTTTAAGATAAATCTATCCATACTATATTGCAACATGCCACTCATATACGTGAAAGTAACATCAGACTATAGCACAAAGTGACGGGTAAACACCAGACTAGTTATCCTACGTGGTCATGAGCTACAATGTTTATTAGTCGCGTTTTATGTCTTGATTCATACACGCTTCAATTTATATTATAAAAGAAAGTAACCTCAGGAAATCGAGGACCATGTGTATCAATGAATACATTTTGAACAAATACATTTGGATTGCACGAATAATGTTTATTAGTCACGTTTTATGTCTTGAGTCATACACGCTTCAATTTATATTAAAAAATAGAATGTCATCTTAGACAGTAGTATTGTTTCTATTATTAATTATTAACATTTATTGTTGATTCCCTTGTAAAGATATTGTGAATTAAGAAAAAATATGAACTTTGAGATATCACTAATTTGAAAATGAATATTACTGTAATTAGATAAATAGGAAAAACGAAAAAAAAGTCATAAACAAACCGTTTTGCAAAGAAAGCAACCTCAGGAAATCGAGGATCATGTGTATCAATGAATACATTTTGAACAAATACATTTGGATTGCACGAATGATTGAAATAGCGTCCAAGATTTCCCATTTTCTTAGCATCCATAATATATGGATTGATATCATTAAAATATGTTCTTGCTCGTAGCCAGTCTTTTTGAGCGACAGGATACATACGTTTAGTTTGTTGTTGATTTTGTTGATGAGACTGTGATTGTTGTTGCAACTGTTGTTGTCGATGATTTCTATGATGATGGTGATGATGATGGTGTTGGCGACGATGTTGTTTTTCACTGTCTTTCCGATGTGATTTTGAACGTTCTAGTGGTTTTCTATCCTTGATTTCAGGTTCTAGACTAGCTGAACGTTGAACTGAAGAAAGATGAGAGATCCACCTCATTAGCAAATGATGAAGCTTGTAAATGTAACGGTAACTAATTGATTTTAATTAACGTGACTTGATGATCACATAGGAGTTCTAAATGGTTAGGACTACATGATATGGTGAGTACTAGCTTTATCAATTGGAATACGAATGACGTATCAAAGTGATTTTTCGCAGGTCGTGTATGACATGTATTCGTTACATCCTTAGAGGGATTATAGATGCTTAGTTATATAATGTTGTAAATATGTATTTACACAGTAAATTAGTGAATTATTATCGTTAAATATAACTCAATTTATTTTTATACATATCTGACTGTTAATCTAACTAAATAAATCATACAAAATATTATGTATTCTTAAGTCATTTCCATTTATTTTGGAAGTCACATAAATCCTTACCACCAGTTTCTGATTTTGAACTTCACATCTTTTCTTGTGTGTTTACGTAGCCGAGTAGGTTCAGTCTGGAGTTACTAGAAGCAGCTAGGAAATAGAATCAGGCGTTCGTTTTGAAGACTTATCGCTACACAAACCAAATAAAATGATATTCTAGAAATGATACATTAGAATCGTGTACTTATTAGGTTTTCTTCCCAAACATCCAAACAATATATACCTTGAATGACCAAAGACAATATCATTTCACGAAGACACAAGGGAATTATTTGATCAAAAATAAAATTAAAAAACTTACTTTTATCACGTCTGCGTAATTCTCTACCAACTCGATTGTTCTTTTCATCACTAAACGTAAAAATAAATACTAGAATTTCAACAAACTTTCTCTGTATTGATTATTATAATGAAATGATCTAATTTAAATCACAATACTTGAATAGTAAAATCAAAAAAAGCTTTGATGAATCTCACATTAAAGTTTTTTTCGATTGATTCATTGAATAAGCAAAGCCTAGGGATAATAAAGTATGCACTGAAGTAAAAAAGAATGGTAATATAATTCGTGAATATTAGTCGATAAGTACTAGGTCCAACTGTAATGAAAACATCATAAGAATATCATTCAAATACATGAGGCTGATGAGTTTTGAATAAATTGAAATATATGTTCCAGTCTGTAATGTTATATTCAATGTGCAAAATCAAATTTTTTTTCAAATTTCAAGGCGAAATAATGTTTAATTTATCATTTACAAAAATCTGTATTTACTAATGCTACGCAATTCATTTAACTTACATTTCAGACAAACTTTTTCCAGATTTTGAGATTTCCTTGCTTATTGGTGGAAGGTAGGGACGTACAGCTTTAAATGAACTTGTTGAACTGACACGTCGAAGTCTTAATTTAAGGCTACCTTGATGCTTAGGTGATGGTGAATTTGCAGATATTGAAGTGACTTTCAATGTATCACCAATTGTTTCTGACTGGGAATCACTAAAAATAAGGAATATGAATCGAAGGGAAAACTTATGTCTATATATATATATATAAAGGACTGAATGTGAGTCTTAGTGTAAATATGAACTCTGGGATGGAGGTACAATCTCCTGAAGAGTACCAAGCAGGACGGAACCCGTGTCTTGGCATACAATTGTTAACCAAAGTTTAACTCCAATAAACCCGTTTTCATAAAATAGCTGAAATAAGTCGACGCTATAAAAGTTTAGATAAATACGGACCGTATAAAGTCAGTTCGAGTTAGCATTAAAATGAGCAAAGAATAGCTCAAGCAACACCTAGTAATGGTTGTTATCATGTGTCTGATATGAATAGGGAAAATATTTGGTTCAATTTCAAACACCATCATCGCTAGGATTTTATACAAAACAATAAAAGTTAGCTAGTTATTGAAGTTCCACTACGTAAAATAGGAGTCCTTTGCATATAAAGTGAATCACGGAGTAACAAACAGTAAGTAAGAATTTAAGACAGCAAAAGAAAGTCCTTTACCATCGAAAACAAAAGAAGATACACTAAATCCAGAGAAAATAACTTTCTTGAAGATGGTAGATTTAATTTGTACCAAGTAAGCTTATCATATATATATATATATATATATATATATATATATATATATATATATATATTTATCATTAATGACATCAACCAGACAGCTATTGTAAATCGAAAAGCACTGGAATTGAAAATGTGAGTCTTCGGAATCTGACTTAGTGTAAAGCATTTTGTCTTCAAACTAAATCGAAAGGTTGTGTGTGTGCACTGCTGTTGAGTTTCTAGCACTGGTACGGCCGAGAATGGGGAGAGTACGCTCGCCCTCTCGAAATGCTCTCACATAGCCACGCGCATAATGCCTCTGCCAGGGAAGTCCTACTCACTGTCTTCTCGACGTGCGGGCGTAGTTTACGGAATTGAGAGGATGAAAAGCGAATCTCCGGCGCTTTAACCGGGTTGGTGGTTGTGGAGTGTCCACCTAGGGGAGTAGGAAAACCCTGATTCCAAACCAATGGTGCATATGGGCTCCAGTATCCTGAGGGAACAAATGGCGTACGAATCAATCGTTGATCACCGGCTACCATAGGACTGCATCTCCTCACAATGCTCCACTGCCTTGTGGATCAGATCTTTCGGTCAAAGGCTCCGGGTGTGGCCCACTAAGAAAAACACCTGCTTCAGTTCGGGCATCTGGGCAGTATCACAGCCCTCACACAAATCGAATGAGATTTGTATGGCACATATGTATCTGGTGCTTCCTTGTACCAATATTTATGTGTTTAAATAAAATAAAAAAATAAAACTAGGAAGAAACAATCATTTAATAAATTTAAGTTGACGTCAGATTGTAGGGAAAATTACTACCGAGATATACATACAAAATATAAATAATATGAGGAAAAACAATTTTCACAATTACATACTTTTCTAAAGTGCCAACTTTCAAAATATTAAGATCTTTCTTTGAATCACCAGTATTCGTTGAACCACCACACTGTTCATTTTTAACATCTTCCTTTACTTCAACTGGAAATTCAAATTTAGGCTTTGAATCATCATTTGAAGACTTTGCATCATCGCTATTCATTATTCCATTTTTCATTTCTATATCATGGTCTTCCTGTTTAATGTCTACATAAGTATGGAAACATAACATTAGGACAATAAGTAAACATTTAAAGGATGTTTTCATTACACATTTCATATAACCGATAGCTAACTGATTACACTAAACAGGCCTACAGAGAAATTTACTCACTGATTGCTCCAGAAATTAAAAGTTATCAGTGCAAACTATGTAATAGCAAGTAAATACAATATAACAACTGAATGAAGATTATACTATCTGGTTTTTAGTAGCAAGTTCTATATATATTATAATGAAATAATATCACTAAGCCACCCACCCACTTTCACTCAAATAAGTATGAATTACAGGTAAAATACTATAATGTTGTTTTTATGATATCTTCACTTGAATCGTAAAGAATCATGGACTATAAAGTCAAAAAAAGCGTCCATCACAGTCTAGCTCAGTAAAAATGTTTTGACAATATAAACCAGATAAGTGTATTGGTTTAGCCTTTATAAAACCTACCCTATTGCTTGGTATGATAAATGGTCAGTGATAGAAAAAAGGAAGTTTTAAAAACATTTCAATCTATCCTTTAATTCAGTATGGAGAGAATCGAAATAGTAGTCTTCATATGTTTAACAAAAATCAGTCAGTCAGCTACAACGTAGGACCAAGCACATTTATGCATCGGTCAAAGTTGCCATACCTCGTTAGCACAACAAGATGAACACTGGATTCATAGAAATAGTTAATTTAGTGGTGGTAGTATATAAAAGATAGGTTGTAGATAAGGATATAGTATAGGAAGGAAGAACGTTATGAAACAATTTTAATCTCATAGTTTAAGGGAAGATAAAGAGTGTATACACCTACGCCATTGTGATCGATTCTGAGCCATATCACCTAGAGTCTCCAACCATTGCTTACGATAGTCACGCGGACCCCAACCAGGTAGTCTGCATCTGCCAACATGGCTCAGACTAGAAGTTAGTGACTTCAAGCACTGATACTGAATATCTGTACAAATGTCAGAAACAGAACTCTAAGAATGAAATTGGCAGTAATCAGGTGAATCCCAAACTAGCCAAAACTGAAGTACGCAACTACAAGTGCATAAATAAAAGTCATACATTAGGGGACATTATCAGCAAGTGGAAAAGTAAACTCACCATTTTCTAAAGGACATAAGCGTACCACTGGTATACGACTGAAATCCGATTCACGTAATAATTGTTTAGCATTATGTAATAATCGAAAACTACGTGGTAAACTGGCTGCTCGATTCGACCAAATTTTTTTATATTCACTTTTTCTATTATATAATTCATTAGTCGAAGAGTTGGTTGATGATGACTTAGATCTAGATCTCTTCGATTTATTTTTCAATTTTACTTGGTTTGAATATTTACTAATTTTATTAAACATAGAATGAAAATGTGGAGTCGATGTATCTTCTTTTTCAACGACAGGATATAAATTAACTTGAACTTTCGGTTTCATCGGTTTGTAATGTTTAGACATTTCGAATTTTTTCATTTTCTTTTGAGTTTTACTAACTAAAACACTTGATGGAGTATGATTTAAACTGGGGTGTGATAATTGATTTGAAATGTTTGACAATTCAATAGTTTCTGGTTTTTTCAGGCTAGTTTTTGTTTGAATAATGGTTTCAGATATTTCTTGAATCACATCTTGTACAGTGCACCGAGATCTAATCGATGCAATTTGTTCATTGTTATTTCCATTAAAAATTATATTCACTTTAGGATTTTTAGATTGACTTTGAATACTAGATATTGTGTTATCTGCAGAATTATTTTCATTTTTACCAGGTTCACTATAGACAACATGTGACAAATTAGACGGGTCCAGCATTTCACTACATAGGTCAACAGATGACGGAATAACTTGACTGGTATCTTCACACTGTACATCAGGATAGGTTATTAGGTCACTTGTCTCTTCTAAATCACTGGAGATATATGGTAGAGGTGAGTTATGCTTTGTTCTAGGGCGTTCCGGTGAATCATTCATGATATCATTAGGTATTTCTTTAGTATTTAACATAGAAGAAATATTTTGAATATATTTATCTGATATTTTACTAGTGGTGTTTTCTGTAAGTTCCGAATATACTGGAGGTAATGAAATTCCTTTTTTCTGTCTCTTTTTCTCCTCCCTTTTGTGTTTCTTTTTCTTGATACGAACACTAATCTGTGTTAAATCATTATCTGTATTCAAACATGACTCACTGCTGTCGTAATTTCTATTCAACAATAATGGTTTTGTTGAAATAAGTGCATTACGACTAGATGAATTACTGCTTATTTCACTGCTTCGACTTGTCTTATCATCATAATTATTATCAACATCATCATTCTCATCAACATCAATGGCTGTTGATTCAGATACAGGTGAAGTTGCACTGCTTGTATTTCGTCTATTATCTGATTCAGATTCATCCTTATCATTATCGATAGGTGTATTATTACTCGTGGTAGTACTGTTGCTACGAGAAGAAAGAACCTGTTGGTCAGTTACAGCAGAAATGTGTGATGTTTTATTTTCATCAGAAAATTTTTTTGTATCACTTAGAGCAACTGTTGTCTCATTTAGTATTTCATTTAAATCTTCAACTGTAGACTCATAACCCTCTTTATCCTTTTCAACTGTTTCAATGTAATCTAATTCAGCTTGATATTCATCGCCACAATCAAAGCCTTCCTAGTGTAATGTGAGGAATAACACATTTAAAAAGTCTGGTGAAAATTATAGCAAAACGAAGGTACCAAAAAAAGAAGGGTATAACGCTACTAAAAATGCATAATATAGTGTGCTAATTAAGTAAAAAAAATAAGTCATAGAAGATTGCCAGAAAAGAAAATATAGAAGCCCAATATCAATATAAAAGAAATCTTTGATAAAACTCCATTAATCCAAGTCTTGACATTTACAGGACTAAAGTAATCTAGTAGCAATGGATATCGGGTAATTTTCATAGACTTTTATTACCTTTATTCCATAAAGTCATGTCTACAAAGGGCCTGCTTCAGTTCAAAATACATTCGTACAGTGAAACATTCAAGATTATCGTCAGGAATCATTAACGAAAATATTTTTAAGACAATTGATTCTCATTGGACTAAATTAGCCATTTAAATGCTACCAACGTTATCATTTGATTGTCAGTGATAATGTAATCTCGATAATTCGAAATTACCATACCAGAGTGAATAACAAGAACCAAAAGTGAGATTTTATAGTACAAAGGTTGTTGGCATGTTTAATACTCATAGCAACAATAAGCAGACCAAAATGTCTAGCAATAAAATGAAAACCCATACGGTTAATTCATCACCGAAATTAATTAGTGACCATTTAGAAATGTTATTTGCTACGTTACAATGAAAAAAACTAACGTAACTCGCTGAAAACTGAAAAAATCGTACATATATAAATATATGTTGAGTTTTCTGAGTGACGTGAAACTTGGATCACTAAAATCGATAAGTGGAATGTCAGTCGAAAGACAAACACTATGATATGATTTGACTGAGTGATGGCTGTTCACAAGACCGTATTATTGACTTAAGTCCCAAAAATCAAGGACAAAACTACTAGTCAGATCACTAGATTTTACATGCAATAAAATAACGTGCTTTTATACAGAATATGAACACAAAATAAGCAGAGTGAAATATCGTGGACAATTAGAGGAAGTAAACTTGTAGGTCACTCATTCATTAATCAAACTATTCATGGCTGTTAGATCTAAGTTTTGGGTATCATCAATAAGTGATTTTCCCTGCAAGTCAACATAAGCCAGAAAACAATCGAAAACCAGAAAGCGATAGTATTAGCTATGGAATTATAAGCCTAAAATGACTTGATGCACATCGTGAAATTTTGATTTTGTGAATTACAATCTGTATACTATCAGTTATACAGATGAGTTCGTGATGTCTTAGTAATAAATTATCACCATCAGAGTTCAAACATGTCGAAAGGTAAACTGATATGATTGAGAAGAATTAAGCCTAATAATCAGATTTCAAGTGGTTGGAGAGTGAGTAACCTTTAAACTAGTTCCCTGTAATCACCTATGACAATTTATTATGCTTATTTTGTGTTAACGTTTTATATATATATATATATATATATATATATATATATATATATATATATATATATCATTTTATCTCGTAAAAACCATATAATTCTCCTCAATATTCTCTGGTTTTAGATTTAAAATCATTCAGGAGCTTACTTCAATAATCTTCTCATATGAGAAGCCATCACTTAGCCACATGTCATATCACTGCATATTATACATCGACTTCATTTATACTCATTGAATTTTGAAAACAGAAAGTTTCCGCATCAAACTACTTAAATCCTCCTCCGGAAAAAATAATAATCAGAAATGGGATTAGATTATCGTCGTTTTACATCACGAATTGACTGAAGTAGGAAATGTGTGACATATGACTCTAACACAGTGGTCTGATGGCTAGACGCTTGCTGTAAGACATGAAAGCCCTAGGCTAGGGATTTCCGGTGTGGTTGCCACTGCGCTCTGGTGAGGAGCCATACTAAAACGAAAAAACTGTCTACAGCGTTCTGATATTCCACGGTATCTCAACTGACATCAATCTGTGATGAAAACCACAACTATATATCAATAAATATACCCATTTATTTACGATAATAGTTTACTTGCATGAAGATGATGTCAGATTGAAATTTCAGTGAAATGAAATAGCTTCTTCCATATAGACAGAAATATTTGTAAATGCAATTCATTTCTCTCGTTTTTTTACTTACATAACGTTCATTGCTTACCAAACTATTCAGTTAAACATCGATCAACTTTGCTAAATTCCCTCTAAATTACTCTTTATCAATACAACAAGTATTTATTTTACTTATTAATCGAGAATTATAAATTTTCATTATATTTACTGACAATAAACATGAAACAAACTGTTTAAAATGTGGTCTACAGCTTCAATCAACTCCAACATGTACTGAGTTAAAGATTTGCCGGAATTCGCCTTCAATGTTACATACTAAAATCATTATCTGATCTTCAGACATCATCTTCAATTTTTTTGATCCTAAATCCGATAAACTTAACAATGTCATTTTCAAATAAATGTAGCGTCGAAACCAACCATCACTGATCAATGAGCTCAACAGTACACGGCAATTATATAGCAACGGCTTTGTAAAAAAACAGAATTATTCGATAAGACAGAGGTAGGTTTTAGGTTAATGACAAGAGATAAGGAATTCCAAAGTAAGATAAATATATAAATTCAGCTAATATTTTCTACGGAAGGGTACTTCATAAATAAACAATGGATGAAAATTGCGAACAGATTTACCTGAACAGCCATAGCTTCATCATAAATAGCTCCTGCATAAGTACATATAAATGTACCTTTGGGAATCGCATTTAAAGCACGGATACCCCAACCCCTAATTTGGGAAGTAAAATAAATAAATCAAACTACTTCTTACGATAAAAAATGAACAAAAAAGTCAAATATGAAACTTCATATAATTCAAGTATCCTGAGTGATAGAGTAGCTAATCATAATACCTAGAACAATTACTATTATTTTCAAACATATAAGTATTGGAACAAATGTGTACCAAAATAAATGAGCCACATTATAAGGAAACGAAATTATGAATTGGTAGGGTAAGGGAGGTGAGTATGATAAAAAAACGACAAGTGAATAAAAATAGGTAAATGAGAGAAGTAGGTGGTGAGAGAATCAGGTTAGTCAAGAATCATAAAACCAGAAAAAAAACTTTTAATCACAAAAGTTCCTCTCATTCTTATGAAACTGGCTTCTATTTTGAGCCCAAATCTGGTAACGTATAAAACCAATGGGTTACATAATCTCTCGAACCTCAACCAAGAATTAGTGGTGGACCGATAAACGTCAATTATGTGAAACTCCCCTTCATATATAAGTACCGTGTTATAAAATAACCACCTCCTCGCCTTTTCCAAACAGCCCCAGTGCCGATAAACAATGCACTATAGGGAATTCTGTGGGACGACATTCGTATCACATGTTCAAGCCATAGAAGCTGATGTTTCAAGATGGCGACGCCAATCTAATTAACGTCACCGTCCCTAAACACACGTTTTCGGACCTCCACGTTACTAACATTGTGTTGTCAATGAATGACAGAAATGTTTCGGAGACAACGACAGAACAATAAGAGTAGTTCGGCTTAATCATCTTACTATTCATGTCAAACATTAGTAATAATTACTAGAATATCACAAAATACTATTTCTTTACGCGATCAGCACAGTATAACTGTTCCGTAATAGTGTATATATACAACACAGATATGCACTCTACGGTGACGCCTCAACATCGTCGAACCTGTAGTTATTCCTAATAATTTAACATATACAAGTTTCTTACACCTTCCCTACAGTTCTGAAAGAAAATGAAGAAACGCAGTACTAATATCGTAAAAAATTAAGCGAACATCAAGATAAAAAGTGATGCGTCAAACGACGCAGACGTCTTGTCATAAAATCATCTTGTAGTAATGGAGTCGAAATACTAGTATTAGTGCTGATAGTAAAAAAAGAAAATAAAGGAAACCAGAGAATATGGAGTTAGAAATGAATAAATCAATTAGCACCACTCTGATCGACTTCAAGATATTCCACCGAACAATTATCAGATAGTCCGTACCTACTAACACGTTTCAGGTCAATAGTCAATTACTACATAGACTAGTGCTAAGTTTTGGGTTAGTTACTCAGGTGATATCGATTGACATAATCTCAGATTTTGCAGAAATACATGATTACCGAAATCAATATCTTAAGAACAAATTTCAGTGGATCACATTTAATCAAGACGAATGACAACATATAAGTAGTAATCATATGTTTATAACAACTTCCAAAATATTAACATATTACTTGCGAGCGGTTTTGAACACTTGAAGTTTAACCCACAATCCTTGTTGAACCACTCGATTGCTACATCGACGATCACATTGACAATTCGAATTACATTCATACACTCCGCCAACAGTAAATTGTGACAACCGACGATAACGATAACCAGCTTGACTGTCCACTAAACCATTTGGATTTGTTAAAGAACTAGCCTCAACTGAATAGTATAGAATATCAAGAAATAAAACATCTATTATTTTGTAGTATAAAAGGACACAGTTTAACGTAAAAAGGAATTTCCTAAAAGGAATGCTTATTCCAAACGAGATTAAGAGTAATGGAAATTCGTTCAAACTGTTGTATGGTTTGAAATTGTTTTATCACGAACTGAAATCATATGGAAAACCGTTATACGTCATGGTGCAACGGGCAGATATTTCGTTCTAGTTTAGGATCCCTTAGCAATGCACATATCTAAGACTCTACCAAGGACCGATTCCATGACTCTTAGGTCTTCTACAAAGCATGATACCTTTACACTAAGTCAAGATTTATGAATCTACACATACGATTCCAACCAATCTGCGAAATTGCACCACCATCATTTTAATCTCTCCAATTGCGCTTGGATTATTCCTGTCAACTGTCAAAAAAACACTACCACTGCCGCTGCCTAACTGGTACTTGATCGACTGAGAAACAAACATCGGCTTAAAGACATGACACAGGAACAAAAGAAAAAAGTTGTTTCATTGCTTGATACTTTCTAGTACTAAAATCCTTAATATGTAGGATAAAAACTAAGGCATTCAGCCACATTAGACACTACGAAATAATATATCAGATTTAATACTTATGCATCTCAATACAATAAGCAATACTCGACACCAAAATAAAAGTAAACCTGTAAGATATGAATTCTCATGATACTGACTATAAGTGTTATAATTTGATAAACTATGATGAAGAGATCCTTCAATAAAAATTGCACAAAGAAAAATGAATTTTTAAAACAAACGTATTTCTATAGAAACTCACCAGTCAACTGCTGACATGCACACTTAGTTCGATCACGGCAATTATCCGTACAATCGCAACACACAAGAAATTTAGAATCTTTCAATAAAGGGACATTACCAATCGGTTGTCTTTGAGGAGTATAATCAATATAGCCAGGGACTTCATTATCTACACTATTTACACAAGGAATTGGAACATTTTCTTTACCATACGATAAATCCACAATATTGGTTAGTGTCTGTAAAATAAAATAATTAGTCAAAATTATAACAACAGGATAGAAAATTGGTCAAAGAAAATTTGATGAATTCATAACTCCCTATAGCTGAAGACCTGATTTAAGCAAAACATAGTGAATTACTTCTCATGAAATTTACCTGTTGCCACACAAACGTACATTTGGGGAGCATTACGAATAGTGTATGTTGTAAAAAAATTAAGCCCCCAAATGCCCTGGTACGGCAGAGAGTTGGGAGTCAGTTGTCCCTCTCGAAATGCTCTCACATAGCCACGCGCATAATGCCTCTGCCAGGGAAGTCCTACTCACTGTCTTCTCGACGTGCGGGCGTAGTTTACGGAATTGAGAGGATGAAAAGCGAATGTCTGGCACTTTAACCGTGTTGGTGGATACGGGGGATCCACCTACGGGAGTTGGAAGACCCTGATTCCAGACCAATGGTGCACATGTGCTCCAGAATCCTAAAGGGAATAAATGGCGTATGAACGTATTGTTGGTTACCGGCTACCATTGGACTGTATATCCTTACGTTGCTCTACTGCCTTGTGGACCAGACCTTTAGGTCGAAGGCTCAGGGTGTAGTCGCCTAGGAAAACCACCCGTTTCGGGTGTTTGGGCAGTATCCCAGCTCTCACACAAATCGAATGATTTATGTGATGCATATATGTTTGTTACCTCCTTGTACCAATATTTATGTGTTTAAATAAAATAATAATAATAAAATTAAATTCGCCTTATGTACTACCATCTATGAAGAGTTAATGGGACTGTAAAAATATTGGTTATTCCACCCAATCACTAAAATGCACAAATTAAAACTACAGAATAGTCCAGAGCTGTTTGAAACAACACTTTGTGATTTGGAATGAAGAAGGTTCTGCATTTGGTCCCCCTAATTACCCAACAAGATCGCTATTCGAATAGCCTAGAGAGGTAAGGAGATATGCTAGGAAATATATTTCCAGGATGTTTGATAAAAATAATTCCACCTCTAGAAGCATCTGCATAGATATATCCATCGATAAGCTAAGAATAACATTGACTAGCACATTAAAATCTAATATTCACATTCAATATTTATCGAAATGATCTTGAACCCATAGTTAGTTGATAAATTACTCCCTTTTTAAGCATGAGAAGACTTTGCATATTACAGTAATACAATAATGTTCAAGAAACCGGGATTTAATTGACTGTTATCTTAACTAACTCGATTTAATAACAAGACATTTTTTCTGTTTCGCTATTTAAACACAATGACACAATAATCCACAAGGAACATTCTATAACAACGAAGATATCAACTATTTTAAGAGTAATAGCTAAATAACAACAAATACTGAGAGATTAAAACGGTTCTCACTTTTTCTGCACGAAATTCTTGGTTAATTATCAGCGTAGAATCGAACGAGAATAGATCCGCAGTCAATTGACTATTAGTTTTGTCTAAGAATCGTTCTACTTCATGCATTGATCTCAATGAACGACCACATGGTGCAGAATATATAATATTACATTTGTTATTGACTGGTGGATCATATTTTGCTAGATACCTATTTGTTATTAATTTTTAAAACAATTGAGTAAACAATGAAACGTTAAATCTATGTGAAAACAAATAATGAATGGCAAAAAAATACAAGCACTTATAATTAGTTATTGCCAATACTTTAACCAATGATTTGTTTGTAGAAAGTAACCGTAAAATCGAAGTCAGTAACAGAAAATCAATAAAAGTAAACAATCAAAACTGAACTACGGCGATATCTGAGAAAGATACAACGCCATGTATTATAACATATTGATTTTCAACTTCGTTAACGATGAACTATTAGATCTATTTATCTTAAGGGTTAAGTGAAAACAGAAATAAGCATACACTAAATTAATATTAATTTTTAGTAGGAGTCAAGTTCTCTACCCCTTAGCGGTGAAGGAATTCGATCAATCGATTTTTAGCGAAGTTACTACTACACTGCCGTACATTATTTGTTTGATATAACGAGATTAAAGAATAGTGGTGAAAAGTCCTAGATCTAGTTTTACTAGTATTCGCTGCCCATAGGCAAGGTGGTTATATAGAAATTTGATTGTTATTGAGGAATACACAAAACGACATCAGTTACCATTTAATAATCAAGGTAAACGCCACAACTCGAAAGGTTGGTTGAAATTTGTGTATTATAACTATGCTGCTTATGAGTTATTATAATTTAGTTCTTATTTTTTATTGGTTAGTAGTAGACTTTTCTTACCGGTCGATTCATGTTCAGCTAAAATGGGCTGGTCATTTTTGTGACTCCATGAATTGGGATTCGACCGTTGTTGCCGAATTCATTGCTTTAAATGCAAGTTTAACGTAAGCTGATACCTATTTGTTATAGAATCACTAATTATTTCAATATCTGCATCTATAAATATCATAAGAGGTTGAGACAATCTTTTGATTAATTCGACCTCGGATGCATTGTTCCGACAAATCTAACGGCTTGGTTGCAGAAGAAATTTATTAGTAACAACATCTATATAAACAGATTTTATGATAACTCCCAGCTATACTCCTCCTTTAAAACAAGAATACAGATGTAGAAACTTTGTAAAAAAAGATTGTAATTTCATTGATCTTTGCAGAAACTACTGACAATCTACTTCTCACAAAAATTTTGATAGGAATATTCTTCAAGAAAGAATATAGTTGCAAATAGGTGAAGACAAGAATTACAAAAAATTTATATGACAATTAGGCGGAAATAAACGCTTATAACAAGTCATCACGGCTAACATTTGAAAACAATAGAAAAACAGTGATTTGAGTGAAATCTTAAAACCAACTCACTTTAAAAAAACTTTTGTAAACTCCTAATAAGGAGTGTGATTACCGAAGTTATCAATTTCCTTCCTATCATTATAGCTAACAAGAGTAACTGCCATCACATCAGAGAATAAGAGAGTTTGAAAGCTAATAATTAGTTCAAGAACGTATACAACCCGTTATTCCGATTTATTAAGTACCATTTTGTGTGACAATGATAAAATCAAAGACCTAGAACAGCTGTTAAATATTAAGTGGATAACATAAAATAATTCTCTACTAATTATGTCCCTAGCCAAGTATATGTTTTGTTGTACCCGAAGATTAAATTACGCGTAATTTCAAGGAACTATTTATAGACTTATTATATATATATATATTTACTCTTATTGTATAACTATTAAGTAACTAGATTATATATATATATATATATATATATATATATATAATCATAATCTTTCGATTGACTTATTGGCTATTATTATACGATTTACGATTCTTAGGGTATTTCTAGTCTATTACTTGCAGTCTCTCATACTAGCAACCAATTTCGGCTTCATCTAGTATAATTGTTATTTTCTTTTTTATGGTACGATGAGGTCTGATTTGCTCGTATATAAACTACGTATGTCCGGAATATATTATTCATACGGGGGAGGTTGAGATTGTGTTCGGGACTCAACAAGCAGGGCTAGACCAGAAGTTACTATTTTGAGGACCAATAAGGATTCTGAATTGACGCAAGGCTGCAAGTGCTGGTTGACGTGTCATTAATTTAGCACACAGACAGGGTCATATAAGTCGGTATTCTGATTGGTAATTTTGTCACGTGATGATTAACAGGGGCAAAAGATATAACATGTTTAGTTTTGATGATATTTTCAGACACCATATTGATCTGAGATTTAAATTATTTGACCGAAATAATATCTTCAATACAATACTTTCTTAACTGACCAGATTGAGTTACTTACCTCAACCAACCGCAATGGAATGGGATTTCCAACGGATTCAAACCTTTATAATCCACAGGATTTTCTGAGCACAAAATTGGAGACAGTGCACTAGATGGTTTTCTGTAACTTTTCAAACAATGATGCCCACATTTATGCGACTCTATGAAGTAAAGAAACATTGGAATTATAAAATATGTCTAAAAAACAATATCCACTAAATAATTAAAACATACGTGCCTAGAACTTGCGACTAATACACATATACGATGTAATAATCCGTTAACCCCAGAAACAAAATATGTGTATTGCTGAAGTAAGTAGTAGGCTTATTAATGTCGAAATTCCAAGCTCATCATATGAGTAAAATAGTTTAATAAGTAATCTTTATGTTTGTTATATCACTACGTGAATTATGAATGGTAACTGACGGAATCTATCTCTGGAGTAATACTATACATACATTTTTATTGTATAATTGGCAAGAAACTAAACAATTAGCATTGGTGTTCCTCTTATCATAAGTTTTATTTTGATCTATGAACTATTATTATAGGATTTACCATTCTTGAGTTATGCTCAGTTTATCGATCACTGTCTCCCACATTCACAGCCACATTTGGCTAAATCTTGTACAAATGTTATTTTCTATTTTATGACATGATGTGGTCTATTTGGTTTGTATATAAACCCAGTATGTCAGAAATACATGATTCATATCGCCGGGGCTGTTATTGGTGTTCTGGACTTAATAGGCAGGGCTAAGAGGGAAGCAAGAACCGATAAGGACTTTAGACTGCTCTTAAGGGTTTTATGCTTCATTGTTCCGGTCGAATTTTCACTGTATTCTACTTGTAGGCATTGCCACGTCACATTGATTGGGACACAAACCCACAAGATATAACAATTTTCGAACGACTTTTACTACGACGTTTACTACTTTCATTCTGATCAGCTACAAAATCACAAAAAATAATGCACAGAATTCTCGTTGTTTAAGAGTAATAAGGAATAGTTAACAAAAACTAATAGATGCAATAACTGGTAACTGAGAAGATTACTACAATGGTAGGGCCAAGAAAACTCGGCCTGTAGCTCTTCTAGAGTTACTGCCGGTCCCAAGCCCGGGTAAAGGAGGAGGGTTGGGCATGGGGTTAGTGACCCCATCCCGTAGAAAAGCTAACTCGCTAAAAAACGCTAACCAGAAAAACTTATTCAGACCATTTAAACTCTGCCCTGGAAGTTGAAGGAATAATTATGACGTCTCATGATGAAAGCCGAAATTCTTCGGAAGTCACGAAACCGATGCACCTTCTAACAACCAGAGCAACACTCTTTATAGGTACATGGAACGTCCGGACAATGTGGGAGACAGGAAAGACCAGCCAAATAGCAATGGAAATGAGGAGATACAAATTGGCAGTACTCGGAATCAGCGAAACCCATTGGACACAAACTGGACAACAAAGGCTAGGTACAGGAGAGATGCTGCTGTACTCCGGTCACGAAGGGGAAAATGCTCCACACACTCAGGGAGTTGCTCTAATGCTGTCCAAAGAAGCACGAAATGCACTTGTGGGATGGGAATTTCATGGACCCAGGATAATCAAAGCATCATTCAGAACAAAGAAGCAAGGGATCACAATGAACGTTATCCAATGTTATGCACCCACCAATGATAGCAACGACGATGATAAAGATCAGTTCTATGAAAAGCTGCAATCAATTATAGCAAAGTGCTCACGGAAGGACCTCACCATCCTGATGGGAGATCTAAATGCTAAAGTTGGAGTGGACAACACAGGATATGAAGATATAATTGGACGACATGGACTAGGAGAAAGAAATGAAAATGGGGAGAGACTTGCAAACCTATGTGCTTTCAACAAATTGGTTATAGGCGGCACAATATTCCCACACAAACGCATACACAAAGCTACATGGATTTCACCGGACCACACCACAGAGAACCAGATAGATCACATCTGTATCAACAAAAAATTCCGAAGATCAATGGAAGATGTGAGAACCCGGAGAGGAGCTGACATAGCTTCAGATCACCACCTGGTTGTGGCCAAGATGAGACTGAAGCTTAAGAAAGACAGGATAACTGGGCAAACAGCACTACAAAGGTTCAATACAACCTTTCTTCGAGATACTAAAAAACTCAACCAATTCAAGATAACTCTCAACAACAGGTTCCAAGCTCTACAGGATCTACTGAATGAACAAGAAACTACGATGGAGGACAACTGGAAAGGGATAAAAGAAGCACTAACTTCAACGTGTCAGGAGGTTCTTGGTCCTAAGAAGAAGCATCACAAAGAATGGATCTCTCTGGGAACCCTGGACAAAATTCAAGAAAGGAAGAACAAGAAACTAGCAATTAACAACAGCCGAACACGAGCAGAGAAAGTCAAAGCACAAGCAGACAACACAGAAGCAAACAGGGAAGTGAAGAAGAGCATTAAAGCCGACAAGCAGAAATACGTAAAAGAACTAGCAACGACGGTGGAAAAAGCTGCAAGAGAAGGAAATGTGAAACAACTATATGACACGACGAAGAAACTAGCAGGGAGATATAGTAAACCGGAGAGACCAGTCAAGGACAAAGAAGGAAAGACAATCATGAAGATTCAAGAAAAGAGGAACAGATGGGTAGGACACTTCGAGGAACTGTTAAATAGACCAGCTCCATTGAATCGACCGGACATCGAAGCAGCGCACACAGACCTTCCTGTGGATGTCACCCCGCCAGCGATCGAAGAAATCAGGATGGCCGTCAGACACATCAACAATGGGAAAGCAGCTGAACCTGACAATATACTAGCTGAAGCACTGAAGTCAGACATTGAAGTAACTGCAAACATGCTTCACCTACTATTCAAGAAGATTTGGGGAGAGGAACAAGTGCCGACGGACTGGAAAGAAAAACATCTCAACAAGATACCAAAGAAAGGAGATCTGAGCCAATGTGAGAATTACAGAGGTATCAGCTTGTTATCAGTACCAGGGAAAGTTTTCAACAGAGTGCTGCTGAATCGGATGAAAGACGCAGCAGACGCCGAACTTAGGGATCATCAGGCTGGATTCCGTAAGGATCGGTCGTGCACAGACTAGATTGCGACACTACGGATCATCGTTGGACAATCAGTTGAGTGGAACTCATCACTATACGTCAACTTTATTGACTATGAGAAGGCGTTTGACAGCGTGGACAGGAGAACATTATGGAAACTGCTTCGACACTATGAAGTTCCTGAAAAGATTGTCAACATTATCCAAAACTCATACGATGGACTACAGTGCAAAGTGGTGCATGGAGGACAGCTGACAGATGCATTTCCAGTAAGGACCGAAGTCAGACAAGGCTGTCTACTCTCCCCATTCCTCTTCCTTCTAGTGATTGACTGGATTATGAAAAATTCGACATCTGAAGGGAAATACGGAATACAATGGACTTCTCAGAATCAATTAAATGATTTGGACTTCGCAGATGATCTAGCCCTCCTCTCTCATACACACGACCAAATGCAGATGAAGACAGCAAATGTAGCAGCAACCTCCGCATCGATAGGCCTCCACATTCACAAAGGAAAAAGCAAGATTCTCAAATGCAGCACGGAGAACACTAACCCAATCACACTTGATGTCGAAACTCTGGAAGAGGTGGAAACATTCAAGTACCTGGGGAGCATCATTGATAAACAAGGAGGATCGGATGCAGATGTAAAGGCGAGGATTGGTAAAGCAAGGGCAGCATTTCTAAAATTGAAGAATATATGGAACTCAAAACAACTCTCAACCAATTTCAAGGTCAGAATCTTTAATACGAACGTCAAGACAGTCCTACTGTATGGAGCTGAAGCGTGGAGAACTACTACGGCCATCATCAGGAAGGTACAAGTATTTATAAACAGTTGTCTACGCAAAACACTCAACATCCACTGGCCGGATAATATCAACAACAGCGTTTTATGGGAGAGGACAAACCAGCTTCCAGCTGAAGAGGAAATTAGGAAAAGACGTTGGAAGTGGATAGGACATACATTAAGGAAATCACCAATGTGCATCACGACTCAATCCCTAACTTGGAATCCGGAAGGGAAGCGGAAAAGAGGAAGGCCAAAGAACACACTACGCCGGGAAATAGAAGCCGATATGAAAAGGCTGAATAGTAACTGGAAAGAACTGGAAAAGAAGGCTCAGGACAGAGTTGGATGGAGAATGATGGTGAGCTGCCTATGCTCCTCCACAAGGGGTAACAGGCGTAAGTGTGTAAGTAAGGGCCAAGAATCAAGAGTTTTCAAAGAACAATTATAGGTGTATCATAAAATGAAATGTAAGCACACAGTAATGAATGCTCCACACAACCACACAAAATAAACTAATAAAACTCGTTTACCGGACACAACTTTACGTCATCAAATTTAGCCACACGTTTTATGCCAGTAGATGACACTATTTAGTACCTTAAACTCAAGTAGGCGGAGTTCTATTTATTTATTCAAAAACATAAACATTAGTACAAGGAGGTAACAAACATATATGCATCACATAAATCATTCGATTTGTGTGAGAGCTGGGATACTGCCCAAACACCCGAAACGGGTGGTTTTCCTAGGCGACTACACCCTGAGCCTTCGACCTAAAGGTCTGGTCCACAAGGCAGTAGAGCAACGTAAGGATATACAGTCCAATGGTAGCCGGTAACCAACAATACGTTCATACGCCATTTATTCCCTTCAGGATTCTGGAGCACATGTGCACCATTGGTCTGGAATCAGGGTCTTCCAACTCCCGTAGGTGGATCCCCCGTATCCACCAACACGGTTAAAGTGCCAGACATTCGCTTTTCATCCTCTCAATTCCGTAAACTACGCCCGCACCTCGAGAAGGCAGTGAGTAGAACTTTTTCATGGCAGTGGTTGTAGGTACGTGGCCATGTGAAAGCATTTCGAGAGGGACGACTGACTCTCCACTCTCTGCTGGACCAGGGAGGAGGAGGGTTCAAAACTAAGACCCAACTGTTGGAAAGCCATTAATTAACTAACAAATCACTATTTCATAATATCAGTATACTTTGGTTATCACGTCGACTATCATGCTTCCTAGACTTCTGGCTCGTTTAGTGCAATTCACCCATTTAAAACATGTCAAGGAATTTCTAGTTCGCAAATCTCTGAACAAAACACCAGAAATCAAAATAAGTGATCACAAGTATTTGTAACTTAAATTCAAGTGATTACACAAGCGAAATACAAGACTACAATGTACAAGAATTAATTAATCCCACTATACACACATAGAAGACATTTTGAGATTTTTAGACTCCAACATCATTGTAATTAATATGTGTGATCAGACTGTTTGAAATGTATTGCGCTAATATATCACACAGTTCAGATAGTCTTCGTATTCTTATTACACTATGCTAATTGATTGTTGTTTTTAAGGGTAAGAGATACACTAGCGAATAATGGGTGAAAAAAATACTGACGATTACGATTATATAAAAATAGTACAAACCAATAACTTGATCAGTACTCCTTTAAAAACATAAATTTAGTTGTTAAACACTAGCTACCAAAGCACACTACGACTGGGTGATTCAAGTTGAGGAAAAACACTATAACGAAAGAATTTAAATTAGTTACCGATCTAGAGCTTTAACGAACTCAGATGGCAAAGTTTTAATGTCTCTTTAGCGAATATTTTGATTAGCAGCTACGTACATGTGAATGCAGCTAAACACAATCAAATCAGCTGCCCGGTCAGGAGGTACCACAGAGCCTGAATCGAAAACGAATTGAATTGGCTCGATTAGTAACTAACTGGATATTATTTAGAATTAAAATAGCCTTGGTCTCTGGAATGCTTTACTGTAAACAGTATAAAGGATTGAGTTTTTTTTTAGAAGAACCTAGAAACCAATACCGATAACATGTACGTTGCTAGTTCATATTGTGCAACAACAAGATTAATTACTCCGATTTACACTATCAACCCTGTATGCAAAGATCAATTCAACCAGTGAAGAATAACTTAAAAAGTTTAATTATTTAAAAATAAATATCAAACAGAAATTATAATATGACGGGGGAAAAACCATAATTAAAATTATCTATTTCTTTATTTGAACGGAACATATATCAGATTTACACATAATAAACCTATAAAACATTATGAAAGAGAGGATACATGGCATTTACACTTAAACAACAAATAAATGACTTACCGAATGGTTTATGATCAAATTCTTTGAATAAATTATCTAAATAGCTTGTTTTGGTACCAGTTGATTCCAATTCAGACAAATTAGTAATTGGATCTATGCTTAGACATTGTTCATTGATATTTTTTTCAGAACCTTTTTTAGAAGTAGTTTTTAGTGCTTCATTATTATAATTTGACAAAGATTTATTAGTTTGATGAATACTATTACTAATTTTGTGTGAATCACCACTAGACAATGCACGAACTGACATAGCAGTATTTTGATTGCCTGTAGCCGACTTACGAGCTTTACGACGTTTAGCACTTGAGTCTAATGCTTTAATAAAGTTAAAAGATAATCAATTAAGTTAATAGTTAGATAACTTTAAAATCTGATAACTGTGTAAATAAAAGGTTAAAAATAAGCTTTTTTCAATTTATGAAAATCTGTTAACGCTACGGATAGTTCAGAGAGAAAAATACTAATATTTACACAATAATGATATATTTATAATAACCTATTATTGAGCAAAAAATCAAATTGCTGACGTTTCATGACTTAGTGAGGGTCGGCTTCCTCAGAATAAGCAAATAACTGAATTAAGACAAGGTTACATAATACAAAAGAACAAATTAGAATATTTAGTACAGTTACCGAAAGTAATATAGCTAGCAAATAGTAAATACTTAGAATTCCTTACATTGGTTAACCACAATATGGTAATCTAGGCAATAACAAATAGTTTCTTCCTGTCTAAAATTAAGTGCACCGATAATTCATAATAAAATGTTAAGTCATAATGATTACCAAGATCAGAAAAACAACCATGATATATTGATACGATACCCAAAAATTAGATCTAACAGCCATGAATAATTTGATTAAAGAATGAGTGACCTACAAGTTTACTTCCTCTAATTGTCCACGATATTTCACTCTGCTTATTTTGTGTTCATATTCTGTATAAAAGCACGTTATTTTATTGCATGTAAAATCTAGTGATCTGACTAGTAGTTTTGTCCTTGATTTTTGGAACTTAAGTCAATAATACGGTCTTGTGAACAGCCATCACTCAGTCAAATCATATCATAGTGTTTGTCTTTCGACTGACATTCTACTCATAGATTTTAACAACCGGAAATTTCACTCATCGATCATTAAAAACCTCTTTCGTGATAAACATACAATATGCATTCTCAAGATTATCAAATTAGGAGGAGGTAAACGACTGCATTTAAACATGAATGTCACGTTTATTGATCTGGTTGTGGTCGATTTTTAGTCCTTAGTGGAAGCTCTCCAAAAGAACTTTCGTACGAACTGTCCTTGAAAAATAAATTTATTCCCCGTACTATGAATCATATACTGTAGATGAAGGGTCATGATTTACACTTAGCAAGTGAATTCAAATACACTAACGAATGGTTAGGGGAGATTGTTGAATTTCATTTAAGAAAAATAACCGTAAATATCTCCTTGAATGATTAATTGCTTTATCAGTAGAAAACGTGACCAAAATATTGAAATATCTATTATCTGCATATATTTGTCTCTTCAATTTCTTCCAATTCCAATATACTCAGTAGTGAATCGTTTACTTAAGAAACTGTTCACACAGGTTTTGTTTATCGATCTAAAATTTCATTTGCATTGACAATCTTTTGTCAGTAATTTGATGGGTTCTTAGATCATATGATTCTGAAAGTTACCTTCAAATCTATACCCCATATCTTCAATAGAAGTAACACTTTATATCTAATCCTCTTACTAGTCGAAGAAATTATTATCATTGGAATGAAAAGTTTTTACATTAAAATGTTTATTTGGATGAGTGTTGACCTCTTATCGACGATCAATGCTTTCACTTTTCAAATAGTAGGGTAAATAAAGATAATCAATAGACAACAAAACGGAAACAAAATGACACGACAACTACAAGTATATTCATAAGCCAGAGGTGCAATTCACACCATTTTCATGAATATTAGCCAAACTACACAATTCCATACTTTGTAAGGTGGAACGTAACTTGGATTTGTGAACTAGCGACTGCAATTTGGTATCTACAAGTGATTAAACAATTCCTCTGGCATGAATACGATTGATATTGAAGCAATTAAAACTAAACATTGTATGATGAATTCGCTTGTGCATAGTATTTTGTTCTCTACGTTTTTCACGTGATGATATATTTATCCATGGTTAAAGTATGTACTGTTGATGAAACTTGGATTAGGACAAAACACATATTCTGTAATTCCTGATTGATAATAATTTTTCAACTGCCGTCAATTTATGAAGATCCCATTCGAAATAAAGTAATTTCATGGACATCAGGAAAGTGAAATAGTACTACAATTTCGAGAATAAAAACGCAAGTTCTCTACACAAATAAAAGGTAGCTAAAAACAAGAACATATAAAGCTTTCAACAACAAAAAGTGACTTACGAACATCCACACTGCTATACTCAACTTCTACACGTTGATTATGGGTTGGTACACTCTTACTTTGACTAGAAAGCTGAAAATGTAAAAATAATTATGAAGATAAAACTTAACCAAACCATAGAAGTGTCAGTGAATCAACAAAGAACTTTTTTCTGGAACAGTAAACGAGAGTTGAAACTTAGAAATATAAAACATAATAAAATATGTCTTAAATAAATGCTGTTTATTGAGTAAATTTTATAGCACAGGTGAACTAGGATAATTTAAGACTACATCGTTCATAAATAACCAATGAATTAAATAGTAAATAACAATTTATCGTATTAAAACTAAATTCTTTTGCTCTGATATGTATTACTTCACGAAAATTAGACCAGGACTACCCGAAAATGAATGTTCTAATAATCGCCACATTGAATATTTAAACTGTGCACGAACAGTCAAGTTAGGGCACCATGAAACTAGAAAACTAAACAGATGATTCAAAAGACATGTCAGAAAGTTCTATAAATGCCCAAAACATTCGCCCACTGTCGTTGTCGGTTGAATTGGGAAATGAACCTTTTACTTTATTTGCCTTCTGAGTGGTTAGTTGGGAGCAGAATGAAGAAGGTAATAGGGGTTTAATACACGATTTTTTGGTGTAACTGCATCACGTCTCCTAACTGCGTTAACCTCTGCGTTATTATTTCGATTTGTGTAGTCATTAATAGTCACCATAGTTTCACAGAATAAACGAAAACTGAAGAGAGTTTGGTCATATATATTAAAAATACACCGCATTAAAAATGTTTTCACCTTAACAAAAAGGCAAACATAGTGACGAGGGTTCTGATATAAAACATTCATATTTTTTACAAAGCTGAACACATGGCTTCAATCACTGATTATGGTGAAGCAAGACTGTTTGAGATGCATCTAACCGTAGTTTACTGTTATTTACGGTCGGAGATCTTAAGTGGCAAACAAGAGAATCTGTTACAATGGTACGGAATCGCTAATTATTCAACTTCTTTTAGTTCTTGAGTTTTGATAAAATTTCACAAATTTCTCCTCATAATTTCATCTATAGTTTTTAAACTAGATGTTTGTTGATCTTTTCTAACTTTATTGATATGAATTGTGAAAATATTAATAATGTGTATAATTGACTCATTCACCAAGTACCTGGGTTTGATCTACAATCTAAGTGTCAGGGATAATGATACTGCCTGGTTGCCCATACCCAAGCAGGTGGATCGGGGTTCAAACCCCAGATTTGATGATCAAATGTCAAACACATTAACCACTAGGCTATCGCTAAACAAATCGTAGGCCGACAAATATTGAGAAAAGTTCCACGTTAATCACAATACATTTCGTGTAAGTGTTTCACAGAACAATTTAATTGACTATTCGATCATACCACTACCATAACATGAACTAAAAACGGTATTTCGCTCTTATAAACATCAATGTTAGATGCTTTTTAAGAATATGAACTTTACCAAACAAAACTTCTGGCGTCCATCATCATCTTCGTGGCATAAAAACTAGTATTATAAAGAACTATCCATTGACAATATACATAAAAACCATTTTGTTTGTTAAAAGAATAAAAAAATCTTTTAGGGGAAAAATTTCATATGTTGAGACACCATAACAAAGGTAATTACTTTACTAAGGATAGTTGTTTTTGTACAGAAAAAAGTTAAGTTTAGTTACAAATAGAAAAACTACTATCATGAAAAAATTCAGTCAAAAAATCATTGAAAGGCATGTATTTTTACTTGCATATAGGACTTTTTAAAAATTTATGCTGGGAAAACATGCTTGGTTCTAATTAAGTCTGGTGGTTCTACAATATCACTGATTAATTTGTGTAATACCGCCTAGTTCCCGCTGTACATTTTGTCAAATTGGTTTGTGATCCAAAATATAATGTAATCTCTGTCAATCTACTAAAACCACCGATTCGTGCAATACAGTTTCTTAAAACAATATCCACCATACGAATCAACAAATAAGAAGTATGTGGCTTACCAAATCACTGAAAAGTGGTTCTAGGCGCGTGGAGCCACGATAAATCCATTCAGAATGGGTTCTGGAGAACTTCATAAGAGCTAAACTTGCATCAACTTTCTCCACAGTTGCTTTCATCCAATCACCATCCAATTCAGTTTCAACAGTCTGTCCAGGTTTCAGTCTCACCATGGGACGCTGAAAAAAGGCACGTAAACAACCTTGTTGGAATCATATAAATTATTTTCAATAAAATGAGGGTGAATGACAAACAGCCATAATCTTATTCACGTAAAACGGTCATACACAGCATTACAACTGCAAGGACTGGAGGAATCTACTACAGAAAATACATGAGCATCCTTGAATTGATGCATCAGATTTGTCTTGATCCGTGAGATTGATAAAACATAGAGAATGGATATTACAGTTTAACTACTGTTATACCTAAACAATTAAATATTGTATCAAACTTGATCACAATGATACGTTTCTCATCTTATATTATTAGTGTTTATGAAATGACTCAACACTTCTGCTTTCTCATTAGAAATTTGTATAAAGTGGTATTTAAGAATCTCAAGTGGAAAACAGTTACTAGTTATTTAAAGCAAATTTTAACAGAATTTCTATTTTTGAGGTCTACTAACTGAACTTACTTACTACTTTCGAACCGAACATGCTTCTTCATTTTTCAGTATTATTGAATAGGCTACAGACTTAAGACATTCATCTTCGTAGTAGGTATAAGTGTTTAACAATTTTTTTGGTCCTTTGGTTGCTAATTTCACTGGGCATTCTATAAAGATTCTCACAAGTTTACGTGAGGTACATTCTACAAGTATTTAATAGTGAAATAATTCAATAATGCCGTGTTAGGTATCTACAGATACTGGGTATTAGAATGAAATCTACTAAATCCCAAGGTAATATTTTCGCGTTAATCAAATACAACAGAAACTCAATAGTACTTGAAACAACTTTTAGGCAAAAACTTTACTGACCTGAGGATACTGAGCCAAATAACGCTTAATAAATTCTTGGGAGGATTCAGTGGCTTCTTTCCAATTTTCTTTTGCTATAGAAATTCGAAAGCGAATTGATTGTAAACTTACATTGGTGGCATATGCGATAGACTTCGTTCGGTGGTGAATATTGCGTATAACCATCATCAAAGAATAATAAATACCTAAATAAAACAAAGTAATTAAAAGTTATCCAGTTAAATTTTATCACTACCTCTGATTATTTCTTTCGCTTGGAGGTTCAGCAATCAAACCGGAATAATAACCGATTCCACCGGTATCATCTCGATATATTGCTAAATTGTTGTGAACGGTAAAATTCAAAGTTAAAAGATTAGAGTTTTTATCAGATATTCACTGCGTCAACAATGAACCTGATATAAATCAATGAAAAATCAACTTTATGCTAACAGTTATACAGCTTGTAGTTTCGACTGTTCTCATAAAATCATACATCGCCAAAGACAAGGGTAAACTTCAAAGAGCCCATCTTCCCTTATAAATAACGAGTATAAATATACCATAATTTGTCTATGGTACATCTTACATTTAAAGATTCAAATAAAAAATGTAGTGACAACTATTACACTGAATTGGGTCAATTATCTTTAATAATTTATAGAAACACTGAAATATTTACTAACAACTAATTAACAAACCTAATGAGCTCACGACAAAAAAGTAACAATCATGTGCAAATATCTGAATATTGTTTAACATGTACATACTAATTTTCAAGGTGTAAATAACCTACATACACATAGGAATATCATTGAAAAAGATTTAAATGACATTAATAATTATAAAATTGAGGACCTGAACAGGTTACCATAAATTACCTGAGCGAAGCTTATTGTGAAACAAACCACATAGCAACCAAACATGTCAACCAGACACCTGACAACTGATAACAAGACTGAAGTTTATTACGCGGCACCCAATTACTTAGTGAATAGTAAAGGGTTTGCGAAATAAAATATGATGATAACGTTTAATCTCTAACCTCTTTAAGTAACTCTAGTAGAATTCATTAGTTTTTTTCATTTTTATTTATTTTTATTAGTTACTGATGTGCGCCTCTCATCAAATTATGACAAGATGTAACTTTTTTGTATACAAATGGATTCCAAATACAAACGGGTAGCTCTTAAAAATTACAGAATAAATCCCAAAAATGAAAGGGTACTTCAAGATGTGAAACACTATACGAAGTAGAGAAGTGGAAATAAACGAGGATTGTGTTTACCTAAGAATAAAAAAGACTACTCATTACTCATTAAGAACAGATTATTCTAAAGAACACATAAGTGGGTTGTTTCAGGTTTTCATTTCTAAAATACGAGTATGAGGTGAATATCAATAACGCTTTTATTATCGTGACATTAGATGTTTTGGAAATTTTCTATCAAACTTCGAAGATCAATTCACCATTGTGACGATTTTTCCCTTTCTGCTAAAACTTTTCTTACGTTTCAAACTTAATGTTTCGAAGAGGTTTTACTTTGTTCGAAAATATAGGAACATTACTACCGTATTTTTTATGCAACAAAAACCAGTGAACAATTTGAACTCAATGAAGTTTTATTTTAGCTTTACGATAAGTCATCAATGAGTTAGTATGCCACAATTAGTCAGCTGAAAACAAGATATGAACTGACATAAATATTTATTAACACGAGTCATTCTACATATCAACACAGAGATAAAAGCAAAGACTACCTTGGTGGTTAAATCAAATGTGTTTCAACCACCAGGCCGCAAGCCCACGTCCCATTCCATATACTTTAACAGCTGAGTTATATCAATAGAGCTCACTTGAAAGTGTTGCTCAAAGATGGGTACCGTTAGCAGAAAGTAGATTACACTAAAACGTTTCGTGTAGGAATGTGTTGGACAACGTTGATTGTTCCATTTTCAGCTAATCAGCACTAGAGAATAATTGAAGATGTTCGAATTTTCTTGTGTAAAATTTTAAAAATAATAACGTTTTTTGTTATTGTGATTGTTAATCCCACTCAACTTGGTTTATTTGTGATGTAATTTCATTCATGTCTGATCGTGCTCTGATTTGGGGACTGGTCTAGTGGAGTAAAGTGTCCGAAGAATATTAAACAACAAGTATCTTAACAGGTAAATAAACCCGTAGTTGGTAAACGAGTTAAATTAAGGATTGAATTGTTTTAACCAAGACGAGAATGAAATATAGTAAGTGTAAACAGAAAATAGAATTTTAGTTGAAAAGGAACGAACAAAATCAGGAGATGTAAACCATGGAAAACGTCTAAGACCCAGAGGAAATTAACGAATGTATATAAACGCACATTGATAGAATTCTACACAGTACTGACACTAGAAACTTCCAAAGACACACGTGTATAGAAACCTCATTATTATTGATTGCGAACCAAAACGTTTATCAAGAATTAAATTAAATATAAAGTTATGACTCATCACTTACAAACTACACGAGCACCAACTGGATACTTCTGTCTTAATTCGGATGCAGAAAAGGCTAGCGCTAATGATGAAGTTACGGCAAAACAAATCTCTGATTTTGACTTTGAAGATGTGTCCAAAGCAATAGTGTACTGAGCATTTTCATTCTCTTTAGCCCGATCTTTATCTGATTTAGGTGTAGAGGGATCTGAATTAGGCAGATGGCATGATAACACACGACCAGGAAACCAGGTATGTTGTGTTTTACGGTATAAGACCGGTTGAGAAGGTGTGAGTTGTCTACATGGAGTTTAAAGGATGAATAAGAATTATAATAAACGAAGCTGGAATCCAACGAATTACATTTTTAGAAAGATAATGTTTAACCAGATTGAGAGAAATAGCCGTAATTTTTCACCTATTGAAAATTTGTTGAAAAACCCAGGTGGGTCAATATTAATCACTGTGAGAGGTGATCAAACGACTCGAGTTTGAATCTCTAAAGTCAGAGCTCTCTTGATGTTTGAGACATATTTCTATAAAAAGCTCCGACGTCCACAAAATCTATAAATTTACCTATACATAGGGCCCTTTTATAGGTTTTCTTCAAAAACATAACAAGTTCTATTTTGAGCAGTGAGATCAACTCACAGGAATAATACTAAACAAAATCTAGTCAAAAAAATACAAAGTATCTTACTTATTTGTAATTACGATATTAACACTTACAAACCAAGTAGTAACTCAGCCGGCTGTAATGTTCTCCAAACGGGAGCACAGGAGTGATTTATGGTTGACTCCGGAATTCGACTAAATTGAAATAATTAAAAGAGAAATTGAATTAACTTCCATGGAAGCATTTGTTTCAAGTACAACTAATGTAAATAGAATAGTAGTTTTGCAAAGATTGCATATAGGTAGTTTCCACTACAAACCGACGTCACCTGGGAAAACATCTAAAACTAAGGAACATTAAACAGCTGTTTTACAACCGAATCCTCACTTGTCGCTAGTTTTTAGGTAAGTTTCCAACCCCTTATGTTGGAACCTATGACTAACAAGTTCCATCACATTGACAGTGAGACAGCAGATTGGTAACAGCATTGGATGTGGATAACGCTGTAACATAAATTGACTTAAGTTGGAAAATTGATTTATCAGGTTTCAAATTAGTGTTTTACAGACATTGTGCTTACCGTGAGACCCGAAGATTTCGAGTCTCAATCTATCTAGAATCGTGAGTGAACTTTGCTATTAAAGCTCAAAGTAGAATGAAATATATGTGAATTGCTCTCTCGTTTCAAATGGTTCTCTAGATGATGCTAGTTTGTGGTGAAAATTAGCTCGACATAATATGAATACAGTTCAACCCGTTCAATAACCGAATGACTACTAGCTTAGTCCTCTGGATATATTAACTGATAAGTGTAATACATGTACTAGGCTAAGTAATACCATACTAAGTTTTAAAATATGAGGAGCTTTAACTAACTTGTGTATATACCAAATTATCACCTGCTGAATTTAATTCCCTTTCAACCATTAAGACGTTGAAGAGCAAGAATAAATTTTGTTAGCAATATATCACACAGGTTGCTGGATACACTTACAACTAGTCACCAAATAGAAATTTATTTTGAAGGCACAGTAGTCCCATATATTGTGGTTATAAATACTGAAAATATGCGTTATATGTGATGTGACTTTTCAAGGTAGTCTACTGATCACTTAAAACAGCCTAATACTAAAGCACTACATAGGCCATAAGTAATATGGAACTCAAATTGAAAAAACATACTTATTCGGTCTCTCAATAACAACAATTTCTTCCTCGTCCTTGGCTAAATCAATGACACGATTATCAAATAAACGCAGAACGCGACCGAAAGAACTAAAGAGTATTTTTTTAAATAACTGGGTAAAAATTATATACTTTATCTGGAGTCTTGTCATTTCATCAACTATGGTATCAATCTTCCCATTCAATTCCAATATATTACTTTGTAAAGTTGATTGCTCCTTTTTAAGTTTATCTAAGCGTGCGTTCAGATTAAGTTCTGGAAAACTTTCGATTATTTCATCGATCAAACCGCATTCTTCCAAAGCCAAAGAAAATCTTTGCTGGATTATGTGAAGTCTAAGTTTAGGATTATTTACTTTTAGATATAATGATTATAGATTGAAATAGATATGTTCTTACCATCTTTTAATTCAGCTTGATATTTGCTTTCCACAAATGCGAAAATAACATCAAAGATATCATCAGAATCTAAAGCATCATAGATTGACTCGGTTAGTTCATCGATAAGCACTCGGTGTTCATGCTTTAATACATTCATTATATCACCTAGATGAAGAATTAAGATCATTGTGTGAAGCAAATAGGTAGTATTAAATGATAGGTGGTAAAAAAAGATGATAACAACAACTTTTGCATTATGAACACAATAACATTATTCTGAGTAGTCTGTAAATACAACATTTTTATATACCATTACGAGTTTCTGCTCAAATGAAATGAGACATCATTTTCAACGAAATCTACCAGAAATTACCCACGAAAAATTCAGAAACGGGACACTGAACTATATATTAAAATGTTTTTTACAAACTTTAATATTATATAGCCTGTTCTTTGGATAATTATGGCGCGCTATTTAAAAAGGACAGTGGTATTTTTCCTCGTTGAGTAAATTCTATTGTTTTGATCGTTATTAACGTATCAAGACTACTGTTTTATACTTTGATTGAATTTCTTTCAGTTAAAGTATTCGACTAGAGTATCATTTTTGGTATCCTAAATAGTTTTACCGTCGGTACTCCAGAGTACCTTGTTTTTCTATTGTATCTGTTAGTACTTTGGTCTTAACTATTTATAGTTTTTTCTACTTTTAGTCAAAACTCACTTTCTCATCCTAAAATGACTGGAAGATGCAACAAAAGCATTTGCCACCGCCCAGGATGTCGATATCCCGTTGACAGCGGCATGCAGTGCGATGAGTGCAAAGGTTGGTACCACGAAGTTTGCACGAATCTAACGCCTGCAGCTTTCAAGAGGTTCAGTAAAAATGGATGCATATGGCTATGTCAACAGTGCTGTGTAGGTGCAAATAGCCTGTTAACCGAGGCCATCTCAATAGTAAATGCCGCGAAAAAGTGTCTCGGCAAGCGCGATCGGGACACATCAGTCGGAACTCAATCTGTCGACACGCAGATTGACATAAGGCAGGCCCAATTGAGTCCAAAAAATGTTGACCCACACTGTCCAAAGGAGGAAGAACATCCTCCAAAGAGGTCTGTCACAACCAGAAACTCGCGCAAAAAAGTCTCTTCTGTCCCTCGTATCAAAAATGGTACCCAGAAGGGGACATTCGGAACCCAAAATCGCAAGGCTCGATCGGTTTCCAGCGCGAAAGATGACCCAACCTCCCAAGTCGTCCTGAACCTTCCAGAATCCCACAGTACGCCTGACGCGACTGTGGTTACTACTCCAAAGAACGTTGGCGATTGGTTACGGGTCGTAAGGAGAAAACGACAAAATGACGTAAAAGGGAATCCTACCCCCACCAAAAGGGTCGACAAGCCGAGGCCTGATCACAGCGACAGATCAGTCATTTTCCATAGAGTCAAGGAGAGTGACAGCTTAGAACCGAAAGCTCGTTTTGTGTTGATAAAACAACTACTCAACCAAGTTATGCCCCAAAACATCTCCGGAGACACCTTGCTAAAGGTGTATAGACTAGGAAACCTAGCGCATCTGAAGCCAAATCAGTCTAGATTACTCAAAATCGTTTTCAAATCCCCAAACGAACGCGACTTAATCTTAGAAAATGGACACAAATTAACGGGTTCAGGAGTTTTTCTCCGTAAGGACTTACCGTTGGCGGACCGTGTAAAAAGACGGGAAGCCGAAAAAGAACTACAGCTCAGATTAGACGCTGGCGAAAAAGACCTGAAAATTGTAAATTTTCGGGTTGTGAGGCTTCGACAGAGAATGATGACGAAGCCACTCTGGATGAAGAGCGAGGCCACCTAAATAGGCTTCGGATCTGTTACACCAATGCGAGGAGCTTACTCAATAAGCTACCGGAACTAGGTGTACAGATTGACTCAACTAGGCCAGACATAATCGCAGTCACAGAAACATGGCTGACGCCGTCTATAAATAGAAGGGAACTTGATTTCGAGGGTTTTACTTTAGTAAGGGCCGATAGAATACAAACGCGCAAAGGAGGGGGAGTAGCTCTATTCATTAGGAATGCTATTCCATTTACCATTATCGACAGTGTATCCCATGAGAGTGGGACGTATGAATTAGTTAGCTGCCGCCTGAAATGCAGGGGACAAGAGTTGCTGCTTAGTTTGATCTATCGCAGTCCAAGCTGTGAGGTAAACGAGGTCCTGCTAAGCAGTCTCAACACTTTATCACGAAGTGATCGATGTCTAATCCTAGGGGACTTCAATGCACCCACGGTGGACTGGGGAAATCTGCGGACTGAATCGTCAGCCAATTCCTTCGAACAGGAACTAGTTGATGCGGTAATCACATGTGCCCTAGTGCAACACGTGAAGAAAGCAATTAGGTACGACCCGGGTTCTGCATCATCCTTACTAGATCTTATATTGACTCATTATGAGGATGATGTTGCAAACCTGGATTACATGCCACCCCTAGGCAAAAGTGATCATGCAGTTTTAAACTTTGACTTCCATCTAACTGTCGATCACGAGCACGCCTCAGCTCAATCCAGACCTGACGTCTGGGAAGCAAACATACCAGACATCATGAAATCAGCATCATAAGTAGATTGGAAAATAGACCCAGAGTCATCAATCGAAACGGCTTGGGACGTATTCCGAAATTTACACTTAAAAGTTACCGCCCCCCACATCCCTTGGACTACACCTAAGGGGCCGAGAAACTCCCCACCGTGGTTCAGTAGGGAGGTTCGCATCCTTCTCCGTAAAAGAAGGAAAATGTGGGATAGATTTAGGTTACTGGGGTCTGACGAGGCAAAATCTCAGTATCAAAAGGCTCGAAATACCTGTGCCTCGACCCTCCGTAAGGCCAGAAAGCTGTACGAAGAGAAAATCGTTAGGGAATCCATAGAATGCCCTAAACGCTTGTATTCGTATATAAACCAAAGGACAAACAGAAGAAGAAATGTTCCTTCACTATGGGGAGACAGTACTGCCTCATCACTAGTGGAGGATGACTTTGGCAAAGCTCAAGTATTCTCTAAATACTTTAGCGATGTATAACCATAGAAACACCCTTCTCACCAGTTCATGAAAATCCCCCCACACAAGTGCTGGACAGCGTGACCATTAAAGAACTCGATGTCTTTGGTCTGCTAGTTAAGCTTGACATAGGTAAATCCACTGCACCCGATAAACTGCATCCCAGGTTACTAAAGGAATTAGCTAACTTTGTTGCGAACCCTTTAAGTGTGTGTTTTAATCTATCCGTAACCCAGGGTCGTCTACCAAAAGACTGGAAGAACGCCATAGTAAGTCCAGTCTTCAAAACAGGTACAAAACATAAGCCTGAGAATTACCGACCAATTAGCCTAACTAGTGTGGTTGTTAAAATCTTAGAAAAGATTATTCGGAAGGAACTGTTAAAGTATCTCGATGAAAACCGGATCCTCTCCGAAAAGCAGCATGGTTTTAGAACAGGTTACTCTTGTCTCACAAACTTATTAGTCGCTCGTGAAAGCTGGTGCGCTCTTAAGGACCAAAAATTACCTATAGACGTAGCTTACATCGATTTCAGCAAAGCCTTCGACAAAGTTCCGCATAACCGGCTGTTATATAAGCTAAGGAATGTCGGGATTGGAGGCAATCTATTGATGTGGATAAAAGACTTCCTAGTTGGGCGTCAACAAAGAGTAAGGGTGAACTCCAAGTTGTCTAGCTGGGAAACTGTGCTTAGTGGAGTCCCCCAAGGTACAGTTTTGGGGCCAGTGTTATTCCTCCTGTACGTAAATGATCTCCCTCGTCTACTATCGTCATCGGTCTTACTCTATGCTGATGATGTCAAGATATGGAGAGCGATACAAAGCAAGGGCGATAGCTTGGAACTCCAAAATGACCTGGAGAGATTATCTGAATGGTCCCAAACTTGGCAATCGCCGATAAACACTTCCAAGTGTATTGTGATGCATATTGGCCACCAGGGTACAGATACATACACGATGAATAACACTGAGTTACCTATTGTTCAGGCACACAATGACTTAGGCGTCATCGTCAGTCAAGACTTAAAGACTACTGCACACTGCCGTGCAATAGCCGCCAAAGGTTTTAAGACTTTATGGTCCATACGCAGGGCTTTCAGGCATCTTGACGCTAAAACGTTTCTGACTTTGTATACAGTGTCAGTACGTCCTAAACTTGAGTACTGCATACAATCAGCTAGCCCCTGCCAAAAAAGACAGTGAGCTCTTGAGAAGGGTTCAGAGAACAGCAACTAGGCTGATTCCCGGAATAGCGAAGCTCCTGTATGGTACTAGACTGACCAAACTAAACCTATTCCCGCTGTCATATAGAAGAATCAGAGGCGACTTGATTACAATTTTCAAATTGCTTAATGACAAATTTGCACCTGATATGCCCTCATTTTTCTTGTCTTCCAAAACAGAAAATCTACGAGGACACTCCAAAAAAGTTCACAAGCCCAGAACGAATTACTTGTCAGCTGACTACCGACTTTCCCATCGAATAATCAAAGAGTGGAATTCATTAACTCGGCACGTGGTTGAGGCTCCATCCGTCGACTCCTTCAGAAGAAAGTTGGATCAGCTGAGAGACCATTATCGCCAGGACTAACACAGGCCATCAAGCCTCCTGTCCTTTCCAAACTGAAACTGTAAGAACTAATGATTTCTTAGTATCTGATGACCGCTTGATTTCGAGTTTTAGATATAATACGCTCATTTTCGCTCACCTAGTTCTATTTACTGTAAATTGCACCACTTCGGGAGTTCCTAGCTCGTACAATAATTCAAACACTCTTAATTATCACGATAACTATTGCGGCGTGTCATGTGGGATATACAGCACCACAAAAACTTAGCATGGCTATGAAATTCTTACCACCAAAGTAATTAGATTGTTTCGTATATTGCACATGTAATAACCAATATTTACCCAGTATATAATTTGGAATATAGCATCGACTAGCCTACCAATTACGCCTTGTAAATACTACAACTGTATACGATACTAATGATGAGCATTAAAATTCCTTTGGTTTGGAGTGTTTAATATCTAGGATAATAAGATGTCTGTGTTTTTTAATAAACTTCATAACTCACATAGCAACAATGGATGCAGTTGCGAAGGTCCGTTGTAACGTGATATCCAAATACTGCTCTTCTAAATTCTTCAAATCTCAATTTGTGTATGTCACTATCTACGTCAATGATGCTACAGAAATTGTATATGTATAGTTGTCTGTATTTTACTGAATTTTCTGAATTCCTCGTAAATAAATTTACATAAAAATCTTTATAAGGTCATTTCTGTTAATGTTTGGATGAACTGTATAATATATAAGAATGACCTTCTTTAGCCCATCGACTGACATCGTCCAATAGAGTCGGTGAAATTTCACTGAACCAGTCAACTCATTTCGTCTTTACTTAACAGAACTAACCATTAAGCTTTGACTGATTACCAGAACGTCATCCAGATCAAGAACAATTAACGCGGAATGATCAGTTGTCGACATTGCTTGGTCCATATGACAGTATCTATACTCCTTGTCTCAGAGAAATCATTCGCCTTGTAATATTTTGTCCGATATTTTCAAATAATGAGTAAACGTAGCAATCTAGTCACCATTTTGGGTTTATTGGAGATGGGGAAATATCAAGTGGTGTGACATCCAATGAAGATTGCAGCAGTTAGAAACACCTATCATTTCATTTCAAATCCAGTAAGTTACCACCGACATTATTTAACCCGGATTAAAATCGCTAAGATTCTTTAAGTCTTTACCATTAGATTCCAATGTGACTTTTTATTTCTATCATTACTGCAAAAGTTTGTTTACCAGTTGTCGTAAGTGATTTCTAATTTTCATATTAACTAGTATTCCTGTTTGAATAACCCGTTTGACGGGTGCAAAAAAAGATTATTGCAGTTCTATAATAAGCTTTAGTAGCATACTTATGTTACCATCTTATACATCGTCTGGTAATGTATTACATATGCGTTTTCAAGTTCCTTCCAATATTGGGAGCCACGTACATACGTATATGGATACATGTGCAAATAACGTGGAATGAATTTCCAGTACTTCTTGTTTACAGGCTTGTCATGTGGTACAAAAAGCCGTTCTGAATGGTCTAAGTTTGCTGCAGGCACTCGGGACTCGACAGGGCTCTTACATATGAGTCTTATAATCACAGCTCAGAAATGAAGTGGTTCGAAGATGCATTCGGAAGGCTCTCGATGTATCGGCTAGCATTTAGTCCTAGCTGGCTAACATTTACAAGTGATGTGGAGCACGGCGTACACACTCATGATATAGAGCGGATGCGTGACCGAGCCCCTTCAACAAGTTGTGACCAGTAGAACTCATAAGTCCAGAATCAATGTCGAAGACCTAAAGGACTATTTGCTTTGGGGCTTTATTAACAGTTATAGGTCAAAAACAGATAACATACAGAAGTATGAGGCAGTGAATCATCTACCGGAAGTGGGTATACACATTGTTGCAGGAAAAACCGAGAGCAATTAACTGACTAATAACTGTTATACTGAATATTTTTCACTATGTTGGATAAAGCTGTCTTACTCAAGCCTTAAATCCCTTCGTGTATAGATTTTGAATGAGATATCTTATTTTTCACGTTGTGTTTTTTTAAATGTTTTTGAAATTTTGCCATAAAAGATTGAGGATGAGGTCCACACTCGCTAACACTTTTAATCTTACATTTCGCAAGCAATCAGAGTGAATCAGAAATCATTATTTATATTATCTATTATGCAGGACATGTCTCGTCCATGTCGCTTTTGCTAGGTTACATGAAAATTGTAGTTTTCCATCGAGAACCATCACAACATAACGCTACCAATGTGTTGGTGTGGAGCAGTCGCGTGTGATATAAGAAAAATTACAATATACGATAAATTATACAACCAATTAACTCTAAAATTACGATAAAACGAAGTCCGTTCGCGAAAATCCTAAATCCCTAATAAAAAAATGAACTGTGATGGCTTTGACGAAAAACTAAAACAGAGACCACCCTTTTACCGGTAAGTATCCATCGTTCAATTGGTAAAAAAACCCAGAAAAGCAGTGTAGGGATCATAAATTGCAGAAGCTACTGCTACACTTGTTGTCTTCATCTACATTTGGTGTGTATGGGATAGAAGATCCAGGTCATCTGCGAAGTCCAAATCATCTAGCTGCATCCAACCTGTCCACTGTATTTCGACCTTCTCATTAGTTGTCGGGGTCTTTATAATCCAGTCAACCACCAGAGGAAACGGAAAGGGGGAAAGTAGACAGCCTTGTCTGACTCCGGTCCTTACTGGAAACGCATCTGTCAGTTGTCCATGCACGACTTTGCAGTGTAGTCCGTCGTATGAGTTCCGGATAATGTTGACAAATCTTCTCAGGAACTTGATAGTGTCGGAGAAATTTCCATAATGTTCTCCGATCCATACTGTCAAATGCCTTCTCATAGTCAATGAAGTTGATGTATGATGACGAATTCCACTCAACTGATTGTTCGACGATGAACCGTAGTGTCGCAATTTGGTCTGTGCACGACCGATCCTTACGGAATCCAGCCTGTTGACCTCGAAGTTTGGCGTCTAGTGCGTCTTTCGTCCGGCTCGACAACACTGTTAAAAACCTGCCTTTCCTGGTACTGGCAACAGTGTGATGCCTCTGTAGTTCTCACACTTCCTCAGATCTCCTTTCTTTGGTATCTTGTTGAGATGTTTTTCTTTCCAGTCCGTCGGCACTTGTTCCTCTCCCCAAATCTTCTTGAATAGTAGGTGAAGCATGTTTGCAGTTACTTCAATGTCTGACTTTAGTGCTTCAGCTAGTATATTGTCAGGTTCAGCTGCTTTCCCATTGTTGATGTGTCTGACGGCCATCCTGATTTCTTCGATCGCTGGCGGGGTGACATCCACAGGAAGGTCTGTGTGCGCTGCTTCGATGTCCGGTGGATTCAATGGAGCTGGTCTATTCAACAGTTCCTCGAAGTGTCCTACCCATCTGTTCCTCTTTTCTTGAATCTTCATGATTGTCTTTCCTTCTTTGTCCTTGACTGGTCTCTCCGGTTTACTATATCTCCCTGCTAGTTTCTTCGTCGTGTCATATAGTTGTTTCATATTTCCTTCTCTTGCAGCTTTTTCCACCGTCGTTGCTAGTTCTCCCAAGTATTTCTGCTTGTCGGCTTTAATGCTCTTCTTCACTTGCTTGTTTGCTTCTGTGTACTCAGCTAGCGCCTTGACTTTATCTGCTCGTGTTCGGCTGTTGTTAATTGCTGTCTTCTTGTTCTTTCTTTCTTGAATCTTGTCCAGGGTTTCCATGGAGATGCACTCCTCATTATGATGCTTCTTGCGGCCCAGACAATGATTCTTTGATCTCTTTCCAGTTGTCCTCCATAGTAGTTTCCTGTTTTTTCAGTAGATCCTGTAAGGCTTGGGACCTGTTGTTGAGAGTTATCTTGAATTTGTTGGGTTTGTTAGTATTCCGTAGGAAGGCTGTATTGAACCTTTGTAATGCTGCCTTTCCAGTTGTCCAGTGTTTCTTTAGCTTCAGTTTCATCTTGGCCACAACCAGCTAGTGGTGATCTGAAGCTATGTCAGCTCTTCTCCTGGTTCCCACATCTTCATTGTTCTTCGGAATTTTTTACTGACGCAAATATGATCTATCTGGTTCTCTGTGGTGTGGTCCGGTGAGATACATGTAGCTTTTTGTATGCGTCTGTGTGGAAATATTGTGTCGCCTATAAACAATTTGTTGAATGCACACAAGTCTACAAACTAGTCACTATCGTCTTTCATTTCTTTCAATTCATGCCGTTGCATGATATCTTCATATCCTGTGTTGTCCATTCCGACATCGGCGTTTAGATATCCCACCATGATGGTCAGGTACTTTCCTGGGCAATTTGCTATGATCGATTGCAGCCATGCACGAAACACCGATTCATCAGCGTCCACTTCATATCCAAAATTGAGCTCCCAGTACAGAGATCAATTTTCGAAACATTTGATGCAATTTGTAGGGGGTATATCTACGACGAGACTAAATAAAAACAACGATAGTAAGTATAACTTAAGAATAATAATCTTGATGTTTCCACGTCCATAAAATCTTTACAATTATTCCAATATCCCTTACAGTTCACTCAAGAGGAAGTAGTCCTTCCAAGAAGTGGACATCAGACAACACCTCAAAACATCTCAAACAGGACTTGGTCCTCTTATTCTCACATCTCCAAATGTTGTCACAGCTAGTAAAGTAATTGACCCGTAGACATTACCTGCAGGTCCTCGTTATATATAAATAAAAATGAGACTCAAAACTTCAAAACAACTTTTGAGTGAAAACGCTAAAAAGGCTCATGAGTGAAAGATCCAGTGATTCTGTAGGATTAATGGACGTATGTGAGAGGTATGGAGGTAAGGGTATGATGTGCAATAAACACTAAAGATAAAGTAACAAGAAAGTATTGATAATCTTTTTATGCCCACCGATTAATGATCCCTGAAACTGCAGATAATCGGTTTCTTATCCAACAAGATAACATACAACCAATTAGGGTCCCGCAAAATGACCATTACTTCGGGTTATTACGGCTATTATTCAGCCGAGACTTTTCTGACTTTAGAAAGCCCATTACTGATAAACTATCAGAACCGTCAGCAAAGCTGTCGAAAAAAAACCTTACAGGGTAATTATAAGAACTTTAAATATTCACCAGTACATACGTTAGTTTCTACTTATGCAATGACTGCATATTGGGTAAACTTAGTTGCTGTAACTAAACCAATTACATGTTAGTACTATTCTTTAATGATTGTTAATATAGCTGCTAACAATAACTACTGTTTGTAGCTTAAAGTGTTCAACTAACAAACAGATGTACATTCGAGTCCATCTAATATTTGTCTTAATTTTGAAACAAACGTACTAGGCTCCTAAATACTTCCTTAAGCCTGTTACTCCCAATGGAGCATAGGCCGCCGACCAGCTTCCTCCAACCCACTCTGTCCTGAGCTTCCTTTTCTAGTTCTATCCAGTTCTTGTTCATTTTTCTCATGTCTGTCTCTATTTCTCGGCGTAATGTGTTCTTTGGTCTTCCTCTTCTAGTTTGACCTTCAGGATTCCATGGGAGAGCTTGTCTTGTGACACAATTTGGTGGCTTCCTCAAAATGTGTCCTATCCACTTCCAACGCTTCTTCCTGATTTCTTCCTCCGCTGGAATCTGGTTTGTTGTCTCCCACAGTAACTTATTGCTGATAGTGTCTGGCCATCTGATCCGAAGTATTTTGCGTAGACAGCTGTTGATGAACACTTGTATCTTC